GAGAGAGAGAGAGGGTATATTCTCAAGCAAACCAAAGTTAGTAAAAAAACATTGCCATTCGAGGAATCCCAATAACAAAGTTTATAGACCATAATAATTTACCTAAAGGCTTTGGTGTTATTTTGGGGTGAGGAGCCCAAATCATCATCCTAAAACAGTAGTTAGTTAGGGTTTTTTTTTTTGTTTAATATGGTTAGAATTTAAATTTTTATCGTTAAAATTAAAAATTTGTTATTCAATTACTGGTTTAAGCAACTATTGACAATTAGCTAGTTTAATATGTTCCTAAATAAGAAAAAAAGGTTGGGGTAATATACAATATATAGAAATAACCCTCCTACTAATCAATTATATATTAATCTTACATCAATGATCTTAATGGATCAATACATAGCAAAGTTTGATTTGAAAGATATATAATCTATGTATCTTTGAAAGTGAAACTTACCAAAAATGAAATGATGCATATTTTTCTTGGTGATTAGCAAACTTCAAGTTGTTTTTTAATTTCAAGTAGTCTTAAAGTAGGATTGTAATTAGTCTAAACTCTTGATTATATCTTGAATGTTAATGAATATCCTAGGCAATCTTGATTGACAAAGCTTAAAAGATTGTAGTTCTGGTTGGATTTTCTTGTCTGTCCAATAATTCATCCAATTGAAAAGGCTTTGAACCTAGGAAAGAAGTAAACACTCTATTCATAAGTGTTGACAATATATAAGAGAAATGGGTCCAACTTCTCCAAATGATAATGATCACATAACAACTAAGAAATTATTGGAGATTGCTTTAACTATTTTCCACAATGCTATCCAAGTTGTTATACCTGCTACCACTTAAAAAGGCTAGCTCAAATTTTATATCAAGTACAACCTCAAGTAGGTAGAGGTTAAGAAAGTCCAATTAGCAATCAATAAGGGAAGAAAAAGGGTCAATAAGGGAAGAAAAAGGGTTTCTTACATACTTAATTGTTCTGACTAGATAGATTAATCGTATATGACAAACTTATATATAATTGAATTCTCATCGATATTTAGCAAATTTTAAGTTCAAATTTCAATATTTAAAATTTTTTTTTCATATATAAACTATGACTTCCTTTAAAAAAAAACCTTCATATAATTAATTAAAGGAGATTGCTTCATGTTTAGAGATAATTTTATAATTATATGATTTCTCTATAGCAGTCATTTAACACTTTTTTATATATGATTTTTGTTCTTTCATTTTTTGCTCTGGTAAAATTTTGTATATGCATGGTTTAGTGTTAAATAAAATTAAGTTTTTAATTAATTAATGAGTTCATAATGTTCTTGAATTTTTTTCTTTATATTGGGTGTAAAACAGTGATTAATATTAAGATTAATCATCCCTACTGGGGCCATGGGATGGCATTGAACAATTTTCTTGCTTGCAAGGAAATGTTAAATTCTCTTGAAGCCAACAATGCCTAGTGAAATGGCAGCAGAGTACGGCAATATGTTGCTGGTGTGTCTCAGTACAATTGATCCTAGCTAAAAGTTGATGATTTCAAGTTTTAATGTTTTTCAAAGGCAATGTTGAAACTCACATGTGATGTAGGGTACCCTTAAAGCCAAGTTTTACAGGCCATCTTCATCAAACAAATAGCTCCTATCATATTTCATAAGTATCAATTATCAGATGGCCCATCCCTCATTCAAAAGTGACCATTTTCTTTGCAGATTCTTTTTCTCCTTTTAGGATTTTCTTTTTGGATGTTTCTCCTTTAAGGTTTATTATAGAGGTTGCTATATTGCCAATCCTTGACGAATTTATGTCTATGGACAGGTTCTTTTTCTTTCTTTAATTTCTCAGTGTGGATATAGAACATTTCAACTCCAGTAACCTTTAATTATTTAGCTTTGATATTGCGTAGTATTTTGGATGAAAATCAGTCATTTCTCATTTCTAATGAGGCAAATTCCTTTTCTATAACCTCATTTGTTCTTTAATAAATCCTCATGCTTAGCAAAAAAAAATAAAAATACAATGGACTTAGTAAATATTTTGATTATTGCACGTTGCTTGAGAATAGAATTCATGTCCCTTCGATATTATGTTTGTATTTCTTTTTTTATTAAGCGATAAAGAGTTTTTAAATTTTACCTAATACGCACATTCCTTCCCGAGCTGGTGTATCAGTACTTCACTCATCACATGATAATGATTCCGACCATCCATGCTTATATATTGTACCCATGCTATAATTGAAATTTGAGCTGAATTATGATCAAAGTGATGCTCATAGTAAGTTTTTAAAAAGTTGGGAAGCTTTTGTAATGCAAATAGGTTGAAAATATAGTAGATCACAAGCATTCAAATCTTTTGTGGCTACAGAAATTAAAATCTAAACTTCATATACTTTGAAGCCTAATAATTTCAGCATTATTATTTTGGGATGAGATGCTCCTTAGCTATCTTATTTAACAAAGTTATAATCAAGTTACAAAACAACATGAAGTTAGCATTACTAGAAGATTTATAGCAATATTTCATATACATATCTTGTTGTCTTTCCTCTGCTGATTATCAGCTTAAATAGTTTCTTTTTCATATATGTAGTTTTTTGAACTCACAATTTAATTTAATTGATTCATATAATTATTTTTAATAAATAGTATTCAAAAAATTTTAAATTTTAAATTTAATACTTATAAATTTTCTCATATTTTCAAATTAAAATTTTTTTAATAAAAATATTAATCCTAAAAATTTCTTTGGAGGAAGATTCGTGGCATATTTAGAAGTAAGCAAAAATCGGTTTAAACCGTTTAGATCGATCGAAATTAAGTAAATTTAGTTAAATCAATTTGATTTATTCAATTTTGATTATAATTAATTTTTTAAATTAATTAAATTAATTAACTTGATTAGTTTTTTATTTTAAAAATTAATAACCGAACTGATCAAATTAATTAATTTTTTAATAAATATAAGTAAAAAATTTGAAATAAGTGTTTTTATTTATTTATTTTTTAAATATTATTGAAATTATTAAATTCTTTAATGATTTAATTTGAATAATATTTGAATTTAAATTTTATTAAATTAAATTTATAAGTAAATAATTATTCATAATAAAAAAATATAAAAATTTTTTATTATTTAATTGAATTGATCAAATTAAATTGATTCTATCAATTCGATAATAATTAATTATTTAAATATTTTTAATTTATTTAATTATTTATTAAATAAAAATTAATTAAATTAATTATTAATTTTTTCAAATAAAATCATTAATCAATTACTCGTCCGTAAGCAAATTGACTGGTCCTGTTCTTCGTGGGATTATCAAATCAAAGAGGAATTTTCACCTTCAGTTTTTGCCTCCCGAGTACTCAAGTCTCCTAACTCACCTTTGGCCCCATCAAGGGTCCCCACAATATTTCTAATCAATCTTTTCGTTTCTGTTCCTCCCTTTTTCCTCTCCTTTATTTTCTCGAAGGAAAAGAAAGAAACATCTTGATGCTCGCATGATTTTTGACTAATCATTTCTGCCCTTTTTGGCCCAAAGGATTGGAAAGATCCATGGCTGTTTGTGTTTGGCGACTATTTCTTCTGGCAGGGTCCCAGCCACTCATCTCCTTTTCTCACCTATTGGGAACATGTATGATTATATGTGTAGGACCCATCACAACTTTGCCTGATGACACTTGTTTAGAAGATCATATTCCATATTAGCCTTGCTCACCTTGTGTCATTTTTTTTCTTTGTTTATAGACAAAACATAGTCATAAATCATATTAAGGATGTGTAAATGTCATGGGTTGAGACTTAAGCTTCGAACTCATATGATTTTGAGATCTGAGTATTCATTTTTTTGGTGTCTCAAATCAGTCTACCTGTCACGATTCACACCTTTGTGAGTTTACACTCTTGTGAGGTATTGTCCGCTTTAGTCCTTCTGGACTCACGATTTTATCATACAAAAGACGTCTCACAAGACAGAGATGGTGTGAACCCTTTTATATACCACAGTGGACATTCTCCCGCACCTAACCTTGGTGTGAGCCCTTTTATATACCCCAGTGACCCTTCTATTATGTTCAATGTGGGATTCAGGACTCTTTCTTAAGTCCGTGACATTCTCTTGCACCCAATCTCGTGACGCTCTCGTCATGGAGGCTGATCACTCTGCCTACTTCTCTCGAGGTGCTTGACGTGAATCGGACGGTATAAGGCTGGCTCTGATACCACTTGTCACGGGTCGATACTTAAGCTCCGAATCCGCGCGGCTCCGGAACTCGAGCATTCATCTTTCCGACGTCTCAGATTAGCCTTCCTGCCATGATTCACACTCTTATGAAATATTGTCCGCTCTGATCCCATGACCTTACAGTTTTATCCTACAAAAGTTACCTCACAAGACAGAGAAAGTGTGAACTTTTTTACCCCAATATGACCCCCTTATTATGTTCGATATGAGATTCAAGACTTTTCCTTAAGTTCGTGACATAAACACCAACTTACCTATAGAATAAAGAGACAATCATTGATTCTGAATAATTTCAAACTAAACATTATTCAAAAATCGAGTTATCTTTATAAATTTCAAATTACATCCGATATTTAAAAATTAAAAAAAAATATTAAACTCGATAATCAAATTAAAAAATGAACCATATGTTAGCTTTAAAATTTAAAATTTAAACTTTAACTTGACTTGAATTATATGATATAATATTTTTTATATTTATTTTATATTATAAAGAACAAATAAATAAATATTAAAAATATATTAAGTTATTCATTTTTTACATTTTAATGAAATAAAAAAATCATTTTATTTTATTTTTGTAAAAATTAAGTAAAAATTATCATATTTTATTTTATTTTTTAAAAAAATTATCTGAACAGACCTGATTGTACTCTGTTGATAATCCGAACAGACTTGAACATTATTTAAAACTTAAATTGGTAGATCAAATAAGAAATATGCACCATACTTATATTTGATCCAAATCCAACCCGGCTGATGAACACTTACCGTCGAAACCTAATGACAGGTTGTTAACTTCCTACTCATTCATGGAAAAGAAAGCTAATTTCATTAAAAAGCCCTATGTTTGATAGGAATTTATTGCTGTGTACAAGGCTATGAACTAAACATCTAAGAGCTTTTCACTTCTTCAAAATGAACATTATTCTAAAAGGTAAGATTACCAAAAAAAATATGCAAGAGCATAAAGAAATGACGATGATGTAGAGACTACCCTCAAATAAGAAAAGGGTTAAATGTATAAGGAGAGCGAACATCTGTACAGTCAAATTTACATTTAACCAAAGGAAGAGGAAAGAAAGCCCTGGTGCCACCTTCAACAGCAAATATCATTTGCCTGTCCTATGACTGGTTTTTGACAACTTTAACACTGGTGTAGAAGCGTTTGAGGTCCTTCATAGCCCTTTCTTCAATCTGAATTGATCGGATTGAAGATGGTGCTTCAGCCTCTGATTTGAACCAGCGGTTCATCCCAGGGGAATCAGATGGCGATACTTGACCAGTAGCTAATGAAAACCCAGCCATTTTAATTTTTGGACTGTGAGAAAGACTTTGCAGTTGTTTTCCCTGCTTTTAGTTATAAGCACAAAAAAGAAAGTGAGTTCCACAGATTGCGATCACAAATAGAAATGCATAACGTGAATTTTGGGTTGCATTGCATGGAAGGGAATAGGATCAAAATTATCATACAATAATACAAAAGTGACAGCATATTATAAATAATGAAACCGGTTAAGGATGCATGTATGACACCAAGGGATAGAGCGAGCAGTAATTTGACAAACCTGCTGCATCTGGATATCCCTGAGAGATGGCCGTGAAAGATGAGGAGGAGTACCAGAAGCAGCCCAAGGAGGTGTGCTTCTATCTACATCAGATGCCTCTGATTGTGAAGCTCGACCTGAGACCACAGGAATTGGCTTTGATGGCAAAAATGAACTCAGCAGGATTTTTCCTTCACTTCTACCATCAAAAAGATCTTCCACCTGATTTTTGCTTCCAGTTTGCTGGTTCACCTGTATTTTGCTTTGCTCATCCTGAATTTCACGAAGTGAAGCAGATCCTTTTGGAACCTTTGCACCACCCCATGCAGGGCCCTCGCTTCGTGGTGTTGGTGGAGGGGGAGTAGCATGTTTGGGGGTGTCATCAAGAGCACCACTCAGAAACATAGAAAGTCCACCTTTCCTATTCTTCTTCTTGGATACTGTTTGTGATGTACTCTTATCTTTTGATGGGACCGAACTGTCATTTTTCTGAACAAAGAAAGTAGACTTTTTGGAGGCTTGGTCTGCTACAGTTCCTTCAGACAAAGCATTTTCTTCCTGTCAGAAGGTACAAAATTGTTAAGGCAATTTCAACTTCTTTTTTCCCTTCAGTAATTTATAGGAAATAAACATAAAAAAACACTCTTAAATATGTAAAATATGAGACCCTAAGTAGCCTTATCAGGATAAGAAATACCAAAATGCAAAATGAAGAAAGACCAAGTAATAGGTCTCTGCTGATTACCAAACTACAATGTCAAAGACTGACTGAAAGCATGAACCGGATCAGAATCTGGAGTAAAGGATCTTAAAGAATCTTGTCAAATAGCAGACCTAATTAAATTATAGAAAATTGCACATATTGATATTCACCTCGGGCATTTGAAATTCTTAAGGGCAGCACTGTGATCGTGCACAATGCAGTTCTTGACGCTAGTTTTGATGAGTATCAAGACCATTCAACTAAAAAATAGCTTCACATTTTTCATTCAAGCTATTACCTAGAAATCCTAATAAGTTATTGTAGGCTTTTGAACATCTATTCACTGTTCTGCATATTGGACCTACTAATTGAAAAACTCCAGAAACTCACAACAGAAAAGAGACCTTGGCAGAAAGAGAAATGATAGAGACCGAAAGAAATGAAGTGAACGAGACAAAATTTTATTGTTACAAAATTAGTGCAGTATAGAAGAAAGACTCTATAACATAACTATAGCAACTCTTCTTTCCTCAAGGACTTAAACAGATTGCCTGCTTCATTTAAAATATCACAAGTGACACTCTTGCAACATTCAGAAAGCAAGAGAAAGAAATGCACTTGAATCCATCCAAACAATCCTTACGAATAGTTATGCACTAGAACAACAACCAACCAAATCTTCAGTTCAGTAAAGCGTCCAACACAAAAAAGATGCATTCAGAAAGATCTTTACATGCCAGAAGTATAATGAGTTTAAGAAATCAAACCTTATTCATTAAAACTTGGGGGATTTCAATGTCAGAAAAGTCCTTCACAGAGTTTGGTTCTATGCTACTTGTACTAAAACCAGATACTGTCTTAACTTGAGCTACCCTATGTTTGCTCTTCTTTGTCTGTTTTCTTGAACCCTCAGCTTTTTTATTTCCTTTTCCATCTTGTGAAACTGAAGATGGCCCTTTTGACTGTGATTTTTCAACTGGTACACCAAGCTCAGCAAGAGAATTTTCAAGAGCTGGTCTTGTTTGTAGCTTTGCAATTTGCTGGTCATCAAGGACGCATCCACCCAACTGCTTCTCTTCAAGCACCTCAATCTGCTGCAGCTTCTTTCGTAAAGCTCGAATTTGTTTGGAAATGCCTTGATTGGGATCATCTTTAGGTTGCAGAAAGGAGTCCAATCTGTCTACATCATTTTCCAAAGGGGTTTTATTCTTGTACTTGTCACGGATCCTTAGAACCTCATTTTCACTATCCTCCTCTTCACTATTGATGGTAACCGGAAAGGTCGCTGTAGGAGTGGGAAGCCGACGGTAACTCCATGATTCTGATGATCTCAGGTCTAACGACTTCTCAAGATTAGCTAGAACATCTGGTGAAGCACTTGCAAAAGCTTGTGATGAGACAGTTAAGATATAGTCCAAGTTACGAATAACAATATCCTGCATTCAAGTAGTCAGGAAAACTTTCTAGTCAGAGTACATTTCCCTACAAAACACCATGTCAACAAAACTTGATGGAAACTACTGATACAATAGACAAAATTTAATCTGCCAATGATCTTTTAGGTCAGAATTGGCCTGGAACTATGCAACTTATATCAACCATATATGTTTTCCCAAACAAAGACAAGTAGCATGAAAAGGAGATCTACATGTCCAGGCAGTAACCATCATATGAAGGACTAAAATAATTAGTGTCTTCTAGAGAAAACAGGAGAGATAAAACAATTAATGCACCATGCAACTTGTCTAACCAACCACAAAAACCTATACTGAGCTGTAAATAAGTGACTGACGAACTAGAAGTTTGGCATCTTAAAGTCTGTTTTGATTCCCAATTACAAAAGTGAGGGGAAAAAAGGAAAGAAACCAGAAGAAGAAATTACTTCACACATACTAAATCATCAAATCTATTGAAACAAGAGAATGAAGCAAAATATAACCACCCAACCTTTTCACACATACTTAAGTTTAAAATGCAAAAAGTGTATTTTCATTTCCATTTTTCCTTTTGGAGGGGGTTCACAACTTAAGTGATTTATTCCCCCATAATATGGATATTGACACTTAGGATAGTACCTAAAATATGAAAAATGATAGAACTAAAGCTTCTATATCAAGTAAGACGCTGACCGTGTTGAATACTATCCGGAGACCATAAAAAAGAGAAGAGATTGCTGATGTGAGAGGCCACAACAACAGAAGAAGACCAACATATTATGGGTTGAACTTTTAAATCTCTATTATATTTTCTTTTTCAAGCTGAGGTTTGGCACTTTAAGGAAAAGCATGAATAGTCTAGAATGATTAGAAAATTCAAATTTTGGTATACTATCATAAAAACATCCAAGGCAAAGTTATAAGTTAGGCACAAATGAAAACGCACTGAAGAATGTAAGAAAATTTTCTCCTCATAATTGCTAAGGCCTTTGAGGAGAATACCTCGCAATGCTTCCTTAGATCATCAGCTCCAAGTGAATCTGCAATTTCAAGTAGTTGAATTGCATTCCGTGGCTCCACTAGACACTCTGCTGCCACTTTCTCACAAAGACTCTTTAAGCTTGGTATGGGTTTCTTCTCAGAACCATTTTTATGTACAGATGATCCCATACAACTTGACTCTGAATCATTAAACATAAATTCCTCATAAAATTCTTCTAATTCATCACTGACTTTCAACTTCTGTGCCTGATCACTTTTGGGCATGTTGGGAGGATAGAAAGGGTGATAGAGAGAACCGATAGTCAAAAGATGAGTTTCACCAACTGAAACTGAAGTAGCCCTCTTAACACCATATAACCGAGTTACAATGGGTGGTTTGTCCTTATCTTTCTTGCCATCCCACATGTAAACATCACCTGTAGCAGTAGCAGCAGCAGCCCAGTACTTACCAGCAGAAATGCTTACCATTTTTTTTCCACACAGTGAATATAGCTGTAAAAATTCATCCAGAGGAAGTAAATAATACATTTCACTTGTAAGGAAGGAAAAATCAACAAGGAAGTGAAATAGAACCTGTTGGCATCTAAGATCAGGATCTGAGGAAACCCAATAAAATAATGCTCCATCTTCACTCATAGCCATGCTATGTACCATCCCAGCCGCTATTGCAACCACATGAAGTCGTTCCTTTCGATGGAATTTCATAGGGGTGCTTCCCATCTTTCTTAGATTTCTATTAATGACAACTCGTCTAGGTGTAACAAGTCGATGACCCCAAGTACATACCTGACATACAGGTTTTACTGTGGTTAGCCCTATATAGCAGATACATACTCTCACTCCATAATAACAGGTGAAACCAAAATTGAAACTAAAAGACGTTGGAACTCACGCAGATTAGAGCGAGTCCACAAAATATTCATGCATTTCGAATCCAAGTATTCAATATAAGCATTAGTGCAAGTAGAGGTGAATTTAATTATCAATGAAAGCAGATGATGGTATATTTACCTCTCCATCAGCTCCCAACACAATTGTGTGATATTTTGCAGTTGCAACACCTACAAAGACCTTGCCTTTCAAATACTCAACTATTCTTGGTGCGTAATTTGATGCTGAATTAGAGGTGCCATAACCAAGTTGACCCTCTCTGTTGCAGCCCCATGTGAATACTTCACCAGACTCAGAGACAACAGCAGTATGCTTATTTGCAGCTGCAACAGAAACTATTCTTGATCTAATTGAGCTTACTCTACGTGGTGTTGGTTGGGTATCCACAGACGTATAGCCCAGCTGGCCCTCTGCACAACACAAGTTGAAGTCTACATCAGCATTTCTTGTCAATGAGCCCTTGATTTGTTTGAAACATAATACGGAACATTATTTTTCTGATCAACAAGCAGAAGCTAAGTGACTTTGAATCAATTAATAGAATAAAGGGAAAATTTCACTTGAGGAAACAACTATCTCATATGGTCAGCAAACCTTGCTAGAATAACCCATAGGTTTTTACCTCTATTGGATCCCCAAGTGAACACTTCCCCACCCTCAGTAGCGATTACAGTGTGATGTTTAGCTGCAGCAATTGCTTTCACCCGACGAGCACCCAAACCAGAAGTCACTTGGCGGGGAGTGATAACTGCAGCTTGACCACTGAAAAGTACAAAATAATGTGTTCATGATTGTTGACTCACTTCGTCCTCATGATTGTTGATTCACATGATCCTCTATACCCAAAATAAAAATAATAAATAAAACTATCCCAAACTTTTAAAATTTTTTTCAGTAAGGTACTCCAAAGCCAAAAAAACATGTTGGAAACTTTAAACCATCAAAGTTCAATGACAAGAGTTCCCATAGCCTAAATTTAAATTTAAAGTTCCTGCTTGAAGAATCATTAAAGCTGCTAAGACTCTGTCTTATGCAAAGGCACAAGAAATCTTTTACCTATGGATGTCAAAGTCAGGGTGCCCAAGACGACCCCCCCTTCCAAAACCCCAAGTGTATACTTTTCCACGAGCAGTAACAGCTACACTATGGAACTTAGCAGCAGAAACTAACTTGATTATAGAGCCATGAAATGAATCAAGTTTGCACGGTAACTTTTGTATGTGGGCATTTCCTGTTCCAAGTTGATAGTTTGCACCACTTCCCCAGCTAAACACCTCAGTAGCTACTAAAAACACAAATAAAACTATGTTATACTTTAACACAAATAGATTTGGTCTGCATAAAACAGTCAGATGGTTTCCAACATGTCAAGACAGTAGCAGGTACCTGAATCCTGCCCATCTCCAAAAACCTGCAAAACAGGCCCAGATAGGAGATCTACTGGTGTTCTACATTTTGAATCTTCCAATGTAATAGAAGCACCTGACTGAAGGAGAACACTTGCTACAGCAAGATGGCCAAAATGCACAGCTCTGTGAAGGCTACTCCATCCTGATTCTCCATCCTGAAATATAGATTCTGAAGTGTCATGGGAAAAGGATTGAACCTAATTGGACCATCAAAACATCTCTATAACTTCATGATGTTTAACACAAGATCATAGAAATTCTAAAGCAGGAAACTAGATAGGCATTCATTAACAACTTGAAAGCATTCAGATCAATTAAGAGATGAGAAGAATTACACACCCTAGCATTAGGATCAGCACCAGCTTCTAGAAGCCTCCTAATAATGGGAATGTGATTTCTCCAAGTTGCAATGTGAAGAGGAGTCAGACCAAAATTGTTCTTTGAATTGATATTACCTCCAGTCTTCTTCAAAAGCGCCAATGCCAAATCTACATCAGGCAAGGACCCTTCTCGCACAGCAAGCCACAAATCTTTATGTGAACCACTAGGTGAGACTTTACGCATCGATTTTTGGACATTCTGCTTCTGTACTTGAGGTGAAGTTAACATCTCTAATACTCTATATATCCAAGGAAAGTCTATAAATACTTGTTTTAAGTTATTGAAAATTAATATTCAGAAGCACAGCCGACAGCTGCTGCTTAACTATATGCCTTCACCGGATTATGTCAAGAGCCAGAGGTTCTCCAAATACCAATAAAGAAGTTATCACAGGCCAAGCAAACTTTCACAGCCTCCTAGGTAGTTTATTCCATCTAATCCATATTATAATCAAGAAATCAACAGGGTCTAGATTCTATTTCCATTTAATGGAGAGTAGTGTCAATAGCATATTATTCCACCATCATCTTCACCATATTCACAATGAAGACATACCAGTTTCAACGATCATTCACAAACCCCCATCAGCTTTCATGAGGAAGAAAAATCACCCATAAAAAGCGAAGCAACATGCTGCATTTAAAATTTCATGTGTCAGCATAAAATACCTCGTAGAAGAGATATAAAAACAACAGGAAATTGAATGAACAACATAAAAACAACTCAATCACTAGAAAGACGACCAATTATTGCAATTTTTTTATGTAAATATGAAAAGAAAATAGAAACTCAAATGATTCATTTCCAGGAAGCAAATGATTGATCTCAGTAAACAATTACAAGCAAAGCTCCATAGCTAAACCAATATGCAAAATTTAAAAGAAGAGAAAAAGAGAATAACGCATAATCATATCAAACACTATCTCCAGATCCAAAATTACATGAATTTAACCAATACCCATCATTAGAAATCACACCAACCAATCAAAACTCAAAACTTCACATAAAAAACAACAGCTTACAAGCTCCCATATTCACCAATGACAACTCAAAAAAAAAAACACTACACGAAAAAAAAAAGAAAGAAAATAGTCAAAATACCCATTATCAAGTTCCCAACAAATTCAAGAAAAACAATAAAGTAACGAAGAAAGGACTACATTTTTCAATAGAAAAAACATAGAAAAACTAAAATTTTTGCCTCACCTTAAAGAGAAACTCCTCGAGAAATTGATGAAAGTTAGAAGAAGAGAGTTTTGAATGATAATATAAAGCAAAGATTTTTACTTTTTTTTTTTCCTGCTACATAGAGAATCAAAGCTAAAGAGAATATACCCCAAAGAGCCAAAAGGCATAAATACGCAACTTAGAGAAAATTAAAGAGAGAGAGAGAGAGAGAGAGAGAGAGAGAGAGAGAAAGAACCGTTGAAGACAAGACAAAGGGGTATTTTGGGAAACTGAAAATGTATATTGACGATTTTGACCTTGTGCTTTTGACTCCATGACGCTTGTGAGAATTGGGTCCACGTAACGCTTTGTGCTTTCTGTGACGGCCACGTGGCCTAACGGTACTTACAAAGATCTAAATTACGTATTAAAAAGTGAAAATGCTTTTTCTTTTGCCGTTTTGGAATATTTTTTTAATTAAAAATAATATTATAATTTTTATTTTTTGTTTTGGATGAAAAGTGAGAATGCTTTACTTATGATTTTGTCAAAGAATTTTATGTGAATTAGTAATAAACACACTAAAAAAAGTTTAAAATATATTATTATAATCACATTTGTGTGTATTGATTATGTTATTTCTTATAAAAATCGTAATTTAAGAAAAAAATAATAGAAATTAATTAAATTAATCTTTATATTCTTAATTGTTTTATTTTGAAGAGATGGTAGCGTAAACTACCTAAAATTCTGAAAAGAAAAAAAAAAAGCTAAGCCTAAGGAATTATCTCACTTGGTCAGAAGAAAATTTGCCAACAGTTTCATCCAACCATAATTGAACACGTCAGATTTGTTGATCTGATGTCTCTCTCTAATTGGATGTTGGATTGGAATTATAATCAGTCATTTTTATGCCGACAATGCCCTTTTCCTTTAATTGCCGAACCTGTGGCTAAAAGGTCTAAAAAGTGTTTGATGTAACTACCAACATCTTAATGCTTTTCCCCAAAATGCCCTTAAGACCAGGATTTAGGTCCATAAAGAACAATCAATTTTTAGTACATCTATGAAATCATGGCCTTATCCTTGTTTGGTAAATTTATCATTCACTATTAAATTTTTAATTTTCCTTGGTTGAAATATTATATATTATTGTTTTTTTTTGGTCCACACCATTTTGATTTTATAATATCTTTTAAAAAGCTTGGGGAAATATTTTAAAATAATTAAGTTTCTTCCATTAGTAAAAGGGTACATTAAGACCTTAAAATATTTTAGTCTTTTGGATTAAAAAAATTAAAATTTTGAGAGGGATAAAAGAAGCCTTTTTATTAAAGTAATTTGCCCTTAATTCCAATAGTTGATTTGAGCCCATAGTTTGAAAAATATAAAATATAAATTGAAATATTTTATAATTTAAGTGACAAAATTTTTATACTTGTGTTCTCCTATGTTATATATATATATATAGTTTATGTTCAAGTATTAATAATAAATAAGTAGCTAACTTTCAATGCACTTATCATTTATAAAATTAATTCAATTGGTAAGGAAGGTTTCTTTTTCTTTTCAATCAAGTTCATTTTGTAGGAAACATTTTAAAAGTAAAATCTAAAATATATTAAGTGGATATGAAAAATGCACTTGTGTATTTCTAAAACAGTCAGAAGAAGAGTTTTTTTTTTTTTTTTTAAATTAATTTTATTCCATATACTAACAGTGATTCTTATTTTACACATGTTTAGAGTTTAGTTTTAGTTTAATTAAATATAACAATTTTATAAAATTAATTGTGAAGTTTTAAAAAATTCATCCTGTATTTTGACGACAATTTTAATTTTTTTCCTTTTTGTTTGTTTTATTTTTATTTAAAAAAGTCTTAATTTAAAAATAAAAGAAAAAAAATTCAAATACTATGATTTAAATTTTAAAATAAATTAAGTATCTCTTAAATCAATTAACATGTCATTGAAATTAACACTTGAAAATTATAAATTCAAAAAAATTTATATGCATAATATTTTTTCAATAAATATGTAATAAAATAAAAAAATTTAAAAGTAGGTTAAGAACTTAAAAAAAAATCTAAAATAATTACACGAATTAATTAAACTGAATCTTAAGTTATTTTTATCCTATTGTTTAGCATGTTGGCATATTCTTTTCGCTTCTAGTTCCAGGTAAGGTTGTCATTTTGTCAACTTGGTGTCGTAAACTAGAAATCATCATCAAAATTATGAACCAAGTGAGCCAAAACTACGGTAATAAGATATTCTTGTTTACCTGGCAAGAGAATAGTAATGAAGGAAAAAAATATGACATGTACCTTCTGGCAACAGGCAGACATTTATATTTTAGAATATGATAAGAGTTATTTTATGCAATGTGACTTCAAATGCCTTCTATTTTCAACTGAATCCCAACTATCAAATCAAAGAAAAAAAAATGCTTGGAAGTGAATTTTGGATGTTTGGCCAAACAAATGAAGGTGTGCTTAAACCCCAAATGCTGCTTCTTGAACCCTTGCATTTTTAGTCCATTCATATGATTTTGCAAGAAAAAAAAAAAATTCAGATACAATTTCTTTGGATCTTTCAGGCTGTTAGTATTGCCTGTAAGGGTGAATATGATTGTTTTATTTTGTGTTTTTTGTCAAATCTTTTCCTGGTTTGCAAAAGGGTTGATAGCAGCATGAAACTTCCAACATATCAATGCAATTTCTGCCTTTTTTTTTTTTCAAGGGGAAAAAATACAAAATCGAATTGTCAATGAGCACAAAGGTAACATCAATTTCAGCTTCCTTCTGAGTTGAGAGCAATGTCACAAGCTCTAAAATTAAAAGCAACTCATAGACACAACACCCGTAGGGATCAAAATATATTGTAAAAAATAAAATAAAATAGAACATTGTATCGCGTATGCGCACACGACAAAGCCAAAAATGAACAACTTGGTGCTTCCCACCCCAAGCATCTAGATCCCCAGTTCTCAATACCTTTTCCGGAATTGGTGTAACAATGCCATTCAATGAATGTGTAACCAAGGATCCAAAAGATGATACCTTAAGACCTCAAATTTCAGACTTATACTGCAATTGGGTCCTGCAGTCAAACAAAATTAAAGGCGTGATTTACATGGAAGACGGATATTGTTTCTTAGGTTTGCAATCTATAGTTCTACTATAGTCGTTTTATTGCTACCAGAATAACCCACCTTGGCAGTCAAGTTTGACATGGCTAGATTGAACTTTTCTCTGGTTTTTGTACCTGCAACCTGCCCAGCCTTTGCAACCTTGCTGAAAGCGCCATTAAGCCAAGCTGTCCCAGCAGTTACGTACCTGTCCAGAACAAATCAGAGAACCTGAATATACCATAACTCGAGGATGAAGCTAATTAGAGGTATGGTAACCATTTTTCCCCTCCAATATAAAATATCATCAAAGAACCATTGCTGGATGGTCGCTAAACCTTCGAACCAGTTCAAGGTCCAACTAGTGATAAAGGTAGATGTTCAGACGTATAACATCTATCAGGATCAATTTATTCAGTCTACAAAACTTTAATTTAGTCTTATTAAGCATCGCTTCCTAAACATGTCGCTGCAACATATTGGAATGACCTTACCCAAGGATGCCTTTCTAAATTGGAGTATAAAGGCTGGACATAAGATTTTGAAGAATGCATAATATAGCTTCATCAAAAGAAATTCTAATATATGTTTAGCAATTCTGAAAAGATAAGCTCTTAAAATGAGGTTTTTCCATCATCCCAAGTCTCACTTCAATGAGAAATAATTGGTTCTCTCAGAGTGCTAAAGGAACTACAATGGCAGTCATTGACAGGTTTCATAGTTTAACTAGCAAGCAATCAAATTCATTAGTGTCTTTGAACCAGAGAAGTGGAGTCACACTGTTTTGAGAAGAAGTCAGACCTGCTAGATTTCACAGCTGATCCCGTGTCATTTATTTTCCTCTCTGCCACAAATATTGCTGCCATTGTTTTATCTGATACCTGCAGCCTTTGATCCACAGACTTTACTTTCTCATTAACCACTGAAATTCCCACGGTCAATTTCTCTGTCAGTCCAACTCTCTGGTCAAAGGAAATAACCTTGGCAGATGCATTGGCTGTCAACTGATGTTTCTCGTCAAATGCTTTAGCTTTGTTAACTGCATCTTGTCGTATGGCTGAACCTTTGGCCAACATACTTGCAACAACATCTTGTGCTCTACTAACATACATTCTTCCACTGCTAGGTGGACTAGTCCTACCCTGCTGCAATAGACAGATAGCTTAAGTTCATAACTAAATAATAAATTTTAGATCCAAATGACCAAATCTAGTTAAAATTGCCACCACAATATTCACACATTCTGACTGAGCATATCATAGCAAAAAGCAGGAATTCAGCACATCGGGGATTAATAAGAGACTTTAAACCTTTGCTTTTCCTTTTCATTTTCCTCCTTTTCTATTCTAGGTTTAGCAGATGATTATCGAGCGCACAAAGATTCGTAATGTATTTTCTTTCATCTGGAAGTTTTTGTGTAAATTGGAAAGTTCAAAATCTACTTGGATCAGCTAAACAACTATGCATTTCACAATATAATATTCAACCATGCTATGTAACAAATCAATGTATTTTTCCCACCTCTTTCCCATATTTATTCAGACTATGCAATTAGGAAATGATTTATGTACAAAATAAATGTTAGACATTCTAATACTAAGGCAATTTGGTACCTTGTCAATTGGTGCACTATGCCCAGGAGTAATAGACACAATGTTGACAGCCATTCTTGCTTCCTACATGAGTTGCAGCTAAAAAACATAAGAATTATGTTAAATGCACTTAAAAGGAGAAAGCAAAACTTCTCAGTCAACTTACATGAATCTCAGGTTTAGGTACATAATTTTCAGCACAAATTATTGTCACAATCTTGTCAACAATTGTCGCCCCCTGCATAAGAAGATTCAAAAATTTCAATTCCTACAATCATGAATGTAGAATAATGTTGTCCTTAAAAGACAAAGATTTCTAATCAACATATGCCCAACTCTTTGGAAAAGAGAAAGCCGACATAAATTATACTTCAAGACAAAGGAATCCATCTTGTTACATGTACAACTAATGGAACAGTTTAAAGAGAGAGAAAGACAAATGTTAACTATTGAAGAAGAAACTGATGTGACAGGATACTAAAAGAACTGTACCAAGAATTGTCATTAGTTAATCTTTTTCCAAAAATAAAAAAAGCATTAGATACATTAATCTAATTGTTAATCAATGCAGAAAACATAAATTTAGCAAATCTTAATAAGCGCAAATCAGGAATTATATAGCTGATGGAATTTAACAGTACATTTGAAAAGTAGGAAACAGGCAGGAGACAAGATTTCAATTTGTCCCATTATACACAGTCACACCATCTGATCGAAAAGAGGGAATCCAAGGGGGACTTGCCCCACTATAGGGCATCCTAGAAATCCAAAGGGCAACCTAATTAGATATGCAATTAATAGTGAATTGGATTCCAGCAAAACCAAGTCACAACTATCAGCCACCACCATTAACCACTAGTTACCACTTCCCTCTGATGGCCTCTCTCTCTCTGTGTCTCCTAATAATCCACAGGGAGGCCTCACAGGATATGCAATTTGCAGGGAGTTGGAGTTCGCCAACACCAACTGTCCACTAAGGAAAACATCTGAAACATCAAAATTTCTTAGTCTTCTCTTACTTCTGGCTTTTCGAAAATTAGAATTACTAGCTGTTACTTTTCCCATTTCTGTTCAAATAAATTTAGTTCAAGTAAAACCATGAAAATACATTGTTTCTTAAAATATTGGTCATCCTGTGAAGATAATATAACTTTCATGGTACCAAATTAGACAACTTTTCCTACTTGGCATTGCTTTACAATTAAAGAATTACTTTACAAGCTACTTATTTCAATTCAACCAGTTCTAGTACATTATTTCAATTTAAGAAGGCATAAGCAACCTACATTTGGGAGGAATTCACAAGGCTCAGTTTAAACAATGAAGTTAAATGAAAGCCATTGCAAGGTTAGCTGGTTTCTTGAAGTAACCAATATTTGAGATTTACAAGGCAAGGAAAAAAAATCAAAGCATGCATCAATGGCACACTTCTTTGCAAAAAAAGTTAAACCAAATTAGGCACAAACCGATAATAACAACGCGATTTCAAGAGCTTTTGGATCCTTGAATGTAACATACGCAGTCTTTGATTGGCCAGGTTCACTGCAACCACCACAAAAGAAAACAGCAACCCAGATTATCCAGCAATATCCCTATTTCTTATGTTAAATTTCCCAGTAAGTTTTTCAGAACACCGAAAAAGAAGAACACCCAAATTTCATTTTGACTTCCTTTCTTTGAACTTACTACTAAACCAAAAAAGATTAAAAAAAGAATAAAACATTAACAACTCCATAACAGCCGTACCTTCCAGGTTAGTAGCCCAGATATAAAAAAAGCAGAAATAATGTCAAAATTCAACATGTTCCTTTTTTTTAAAATTTCACTTGGCCTACAAACGAAAAAACTCAAGATCCAAAATTCCAACTTTCTTTCATTTTCCAACATTTTCTCAGCCACCAAACACAATCCTCACCAACCCTTTACACAAAACCAGAAAAAGAAAAGAAAAGAAAAAATTACCCTTTGATTTCAATGTGCTCAATATCACCAGCGAAAGAAAAGAACTCATGAATCTCCCTCTCACTTGCTAGATCTGACAGGTTCTTTACTTGTACAGTTCTTGCCTGAAACCCAACATTAGAAACAGAACAAAGTTAACATTTTTAATTCAAAATAACTACAAAGATTCAGTTTTTAGATTCATTAAACACAGAAGACATGAAGAGAACAAAAACTGTTAGCTTACCTGCATTGTAAAAAAAGTTGCTGCAGAAAATGAATTAAAAGAAATGGCGAGAAAGAGAAGCAGACAACTTGTGGAGAGAGAGAGAAATATAATATGAGCAGGAAAGAACATAAAATATGATTGAGTTTTATTATAACCTTCATAAATTCCCTCGGATTTTCTCTGAATTTGCCACTAATTTACTATTTTACCCTTTAACACATAATTTTGATGACTTTTTTTTTTCTTTTTGGTTTGAGAAAATACATTTTGAGATAGAATTGTTCTAATTATTCTTTTATAAAGTATTGAGATAAGTGAATGAATTATAAATAATAAAATTTAAATTATAAATATGATAGATATTATTTTTAAAAATAATTGTATGAATTAATTAAATTAAAATTTTAATTTATTTTAATTATTCTTCAACCACTTAAAAAATAAATTTATTTGTGATCACATAATTTTATTGTTCATTCATATAAACCTAATCCATTCTTAAATATATGGTTTGGTGATAAGTTTCATTTCAATATTGAATTTGAGTAAAAATATTAAATTTTTTTAAAAAAAAATCTATAAAATAAAATTTTAATTAATGAAAATAGAAATATAAAAGCATGTGTAACAATTTATTTAAAAGAAAGAAAAACGCATGATGCATTACCTTTCATGACAATGATAACTGTGAACAAGATTGCCTATCAATCACGAATTTAATAATGTGAAAGGGTCACCTTAGCTAAAGAAGAAACTAAAAAAAAAAAAAAAAGAGAAAAGGGTAAAACAGTAAAATTAGAAAAGATAACAGCAATACTTGCCGAAGTCACAAGCCATTTGTGATTCTTTTCTTGGTCAACTATGCGGGATAAGTGCTGGACTTTTTCGACAGCCAAATACGGCCTTAGTTGGACTTGTCTCTTTTGGGCTTTATGCTTTGTTTTGGTTTTTATTTTTGTTTTTAAATTATATTAAACAATACTTTGTTTAGCATTACTTTCCTTTTCTTCAAAGAAAAAAAAATAGTCAAATATTTAGTTTTATATATGTAAAAATATTTGATTTTGATAACATATTCTAAAATACTCATTGATTGCGCGTGGACGATTGTTTTAAATAGGATTTTCATTAAAGATAGGTTGAAAGCTGAGGCAAATAAGGTTGAAGAAGAGTGTTGTCAATAATAATGACAATGAGTTGAGGTTTTGCTCATCTTGATCCGATTCAATGTTAAAATATTATTTTTATATCTAATTTAATTTGATTTATATAAAATTATATTCTATTTGAAATTAATTTAATAATTTTAATTTAATATAATATTCATAAAATATAATTTTTTAAATATAAATTATATCTTAATTATTTATAAATATAATATTTTTATTTAATTAATATCTTAAATTAAGTTATTATATAATTATTTTATTAATATAATAATATATATATAATTAAATAAATAATTTATATATATATATACACGAAATGGATTTAACTAAAATTGACTCTAATCCAACTCGAAATCTAATTTAAAAAGAAAAAAAAGATTTTATAGAATTGGGTTGGATCAAAATCTACGAGGGTATTATTGCCGATCCTAATTGTTTGTGTTAGTGTGGAAGACAATTCAGGGATCATGTGTTTTTGAGTTGTGAGTTTAGAAAAACAGTTTGGCAAGGATGATACAGTTATGGAGGATTAAAAGAAGAATATCTTGCCATCTGATATCAGTTATCTTGCACATTGCTTGGAATTCTTGCATTTATTAGATATGGTTGGATTGAGGATGCTATCAAGACTCGGTTATTTGGTTTACGTTTCATTGCTGCTAATTCAATGAACTAAGATTTATATGTTGCTTGGAATCTTAATACTGCTATTGTAAATAACTGTTAAGTATAAATATTGTTTGCTGTTTGATGGTTATGTAGTTGTATTGTAGCCGCATTCTATTATTTTTTTTATAAATAAAATTACAACTTATCCAAAAAAATATGTTGGGATGAATGATACCATACGAAAAAGAACATATGAGGATACAGTTTTTGAAAACAAAATCCAGAATACTAAGCTATAATAGTCCAACATCTACCACATTAATTCCGATACATATAGTAACGATCAGAAGAGAAATACTAAATTTTCATACAGTATTCATAACCTTAATGTCATTTGTATGTGAAGAGAACATCACCCAATTAACTATACGATGTTATGTGAGTCTCGCCATTAACATTGTAAAACGAAACATATCTGTAAATTGAACATTGTCCTTTCCTTTCCTTCCCTCTTAATCTCTCTATGGTCTGATAAATCTGCTATTGTTTCTATTGGGTACATAACTTCTGCTATTTTTAACTTCGCAATGAAAAATGTCTATAACAAAGTAAAAACTACATCGATGTAAGTTGGTTGAATTGATAAAATTTGAATACTTTACTTATAAGATATAAATTCGAGTTTCACTGCCAATAATCTATCCTGGAGAAGCCTCTTCAAAACTTTAAGTAACAAAAAGAAATGATAAGGCCTACCACTTTGTTGCTTTCATATCCTAATCCAATTGCTCTCCTTTTTAACATTTTGCTATGTTCGATGTCCCACCATGTTTCCTATAGTTGCCTGCTCATTCATGTCAAGACATTATTCCACTCTAGGGATGGACTGGACTAAACTTATCACAAATGCTGACCAATCTGTACTTCTTCCTAAATCACTGGATTTTTCGCACCCTGTATCTCCATTATTTCCTTCCAGAGTCAGCCTCATAACATTCTGATTTAGCCTTTGTTATCAGTCAAGTTCTCAAATACTTCTCGCAAGCTGTTTGACGCAAGGTGTTGATGCTTGTCTGTCTTCAGTGCCTTGTGACATCAGGGCTAGCATTCCAAGGACTAGCGTTATCATCCAGCTCTACTCCATCTTAGGTCAGGTTTGGATTCCACCATATATTTAGTACAAAGCAATTAAGCTAATTGCATTATCATTTAATTGAAATACTCATTCCAATGAAGATCATTCAATATAAAATTTTCATTAATTTTTTTTTCAATTACAATTATAACAACTTATATTACTATTTTCAATATTATTAGAATCAATTTTGAACTTCTATACAAATTCCTATGAGCAAGATTTAATTGTATTTGATATTGTATAGCTCAAATCGTAAGACAAAAGCAATATGAGAGCTGGAAATGTAGTAACAAACAAAGCGGATGGTTAAAATCAGTATCTAGATTTCAATGTATTCTGATAACATCTAAAAATCAATAAAAAAAAAAAAAAAGAGCTGAATCAACCCAATATGCTCAATGCAATAAACTTTTTTCTTTTTGGATTTTCTTTGCAACCGAACAGAAAAATCAATAGCATAAGCATGAAAATACTCATATATCCACGAAAGAACTGAATATTTACCTTTCGAACTTTGGTGAAAGTGAGATCTAATTGCAACCCGGCATGATCTAAGTTAATAATTTTCCGTCATATCTGATGGAAAGGCCGAAGAATTTAAATCATATCTGGGTTGGGCCAAGCAATGGCCCAAGTGGGCAATGTATAATGTTTACAGTTTGGAAATTAAATAATGCCTGGCCGGGCCTATGTTTACTCTGTCATTATATTTGCCTAACCGCGTAAGTCACTTTTTTTTTTTTATTATAGATCAAAGGTTTTTATTTTTCATTAGTTTATTTTTGGATATAATAAATTATGTCACATATTCAAAAAAATTTTAGTTATAATATTTTTTATTTTTATGAGTAATTTCATAGAGAAAATAAGAATATATGATATATATAGATTTGATAGTTTTAAATATCACATATAAAAATGATATGAAAAAAATACGAAAAAATATTATTTAAACATTTAATAAAAATCGCATATGAGTTTGATAAAAAAATAAATTCATGTTTGAAATGTCAATACGAAATGTAATATTATAATTTTTATAGCTTATACTTGTTAAATATGAAATAAATATGATATAAATATATGTATTATCATATTAAAATATATACATGTGTTACATAAAATTTTTAAATTCCTTGAACAGGATTAGAACTGCCAATAGAATTAGAACTTATATGCTTTCTTTTGCATAATTTATAAAATTTTTAAATTCCACCAGCCATGTTTAAAACACGCTTCATCAGAATGGCTCTCATTTATATCCTTTCTTTACATGATTTATTCCACTTATATTGAGTTAATGAAGAAAAGGAAAGCATTTGGGGAATGGATGTTAAAACTTGAAAAGTTGTTGAAATGTGATCATTTCATACTCACAGTCTACTTGGAAATCCATCAATTAATTGCTACCAAACAAAAATTTCACATGGCATATGCAGCAAAGTACAACCTGTTACACATCATCACTTTTTCTCTCCCAAAAAAAAAAAAAAAGCATAGAAAAAGAAGCTTCTCTTCTCTTTCTCATTCTGCAATTCACACATCCACAACCACCATCTCAATGCTGATTCACTTTTACTTCTAGACTAGGCTCAAAAAGGGAAAAAATCCCTTGCTTGGCCTCTAAGTCTTGTAGCGGCACCTTTATATAGCTGTGTATGCAGCTCAAAAACTACTATAACCAGATCCTCCATGGCCACCAAAATCCTAGCATCTTTAAGCCATGGTTTTGAGAATGAATGCAAGGAAATTCATGATTCTTGGGGAAGATTGAATCAGTTGATTCGAGCTTTGGCTAGTCGAACGCAGCTTGAATGCCGGCGAATTAGAGAGACTTACAAGGAAATGTATGGGGAAGACCTGATAACTCTACTGCAAGAGACTAGTATGAGTAGCAACAGAAATGAGCCTGGGGTTTCACCAAAAACTTGTGCAGCCTTGTCTCTTTGGATGCTTGATCCTCATGAACGTGATGCCAATTTTGCTAGGGAGGCAATTCAGCAAGATGATGCTAACTATAAGGCTCTTGTGGAAATTTTTGTAGGACGAAAATCAAGTCATATTGCCCTCATCAAGCAAGCCTATCAATCAAGGTATAAAAGCCAGTTGGACCAGGATATCGTCAATATTGAGCCTCCCCACCCTTACCAGAAGGTAAGTTTGCCTAGAATTTGAATTGGAATTCGAGAAAATTTCATATCAGTCATTCATCTTTGTTCTTATGACAGATTCTGGTTGCATTAGCCACATCACACAAGGCACACCAGGCAGATGTTAGTCAACATATCGCGAAATGTGATGCCAGGAGGCTTTATGAAACAGGGGAGGGAAGTCCTGGAGCCATTGATGAAGGTATTGCGCTAGAGATTTTCACTAAAAGGAGCATTCCACAGCTTAAGTTGACGTTTTCTTTCTATAAGCACATCTATGGACATGACTACACAAAGGTAATTTGTTTCTTATCTGCATGCAATCTTCTTAATTTGTTTCTATCTTTGAATAGAGAAGAAACTTATTGGTTCATCTAATACTTTTCAGTCAATCATCAAAGGGAATTCTGGGGAGTTTGAGGATGCATTAAAGATGGTTATAAAATGTATTTGCAACCCACCTAATTATTATGCAAAGGTAAGAATCTGCTTTCATATCTAAATAGATTGAAAGCATTTCTTCTTAATGTTTTTAACCAAACTTAAACTATACCAAATGAGGACATTATTCACATAATTGAATCACTGAAATTGATTTAGTAACCAACTCCTGCTTGGTCACAGACTTTGTTTGCAAGCATAAGAGAGATGACAGCAGATAGAGGTGCCTTGGCACGTGTGATGGTGAGCAGAGCTGAGATAGACATGGATGAAATTCAAAGGGTTTTCAGGATAAAATATGGAGTAGAATTGAGAAAAGCAATATGCGACAGCATTCCCTCGGGGGATTACAGAGACTTCCTTCTTGCTTTAGCTAATAAAACAGCTACTGCTCCTTCAAAAGCAAGTTAGTTCTTAATTGTCTTTTACCTCCAACACCTCCCTTTGAGTATGTCTTAGATGTTTTAAGCATTTGTTTTTCTCACTATAGTCATAGATGTTTTAAGCCTTTGTTTTTCTCACTATATATATTTGGATAGTTAATAGCCGTTAGTGTCACATTGTGCAGACTCAAATCCAATTATTGTCTGTTTTTCTAATCTAAAAATCTTACAGTTTTGTTGTGCTTCATAGCAGATCCTTACAATATCTCGATGTGGGATTGAGAGCGTTACATATGTAATTAATGAGTTTGAATCTGTGAAACTAAAATGCTAGCTACCATTATAAAAGCAGTCCTAAAGAATTCCAGCCAGTTGTTTCAAGTTTGTGAGGTGTATGTCTAAAAGAGATATCAACTTTTTCCTCACTAGCTTTCCTAACTATTAAAGTGAAAAAGCAAAAGCATCTTTGTCAGACATCACCTTTGAACCTTTTTATTGCCTTTTCTGTGGCGAATTTGACTCCATGCAAAGCAAAGCTGAAAGGTGATAATATAGTCATCTTCTGGTTTCATTGCCTGTTGAAAGAAGCTAAAAGCATAAACTTGTGAAAAATATGAAGTTCCATAAAATTGCAGATAAAAAATTTATGGCATTTTTTCAGAGAAAACAAGCGCTAGAATCTTGGAAAGATTTTCTGCTTAAGTTATCCAATCAAACAGCCTTTAATAAGCCACACCAAAACCAGGCCAATTGCAGATATTATATTTATAATTTCAGGATCACATGGAGTAAATCAAGCCTGGATTAAAGAATACTGGCTGTACTATAAATTTAGGCCTGTAAACTGAAAAATGTACCATCATTTCCAGACCAAAGCAGCATTGATGTGTGGAGCAGAAGAAAAGATTCCTGGAAAGTAAATTTTAATTGCTTATTGCTTTCGTTTTTCATCTCTTGAATGGCCAAACTAAATCCTTTTCATTCCATTCTGCCCTTTATACGCCCTGCAATTTTTTGGTCCATGCCACCATTTCCTCTTCTGACTTTGTCATCTCATAGAACAGTATAGGATGAAACAAGCTCTAATCCCCTTGAATTAGCACATTTCAGCTATTATAAATTTATCTTAACAAATATTGAATAAATAAATGGCAAATTTCAAAACTGATCAGATTTGTTTTTCAACCAGAAAGCTCAAGAGTGAGTTAATAGCAGTCGCAGAGCTCAAAACAGAGAGCTTTTTATAGCAAAGAAATGTTCTTGTTGAGTTGCATAATCATGCAGATCACCAGGCACATTTTTTTGTTATCCTCTTTCAATGAAAACCCATTGTTTTGTATTAGTTTGTCAATTGCCACATGCCAAAGACCAAAGGAAACCTAAAAAGCAAAGATGGGATCACCTGCGAAGGGAGGACAACATATGTATAGTTTCAAGGAAGATTGTCCAGAGTAACCAAACCAAATGCTTTAGAATTTGGAAAAGGAATGATTCACTTTTCCGTAGGAAACCCAAAAGAAACCTCTTTAATTGGACCAAGTCTTTTTCAAATATAAGCTTGTTAATCTATTATATATATTAAAGGAGTTGTGAAAGAGTCTTGCTCTCATCATTTAATTCAGAAACAAACAGTACCATTTCTTTCCAAAATGTCCCGTTCGTACCAAGATTTTGAGCCTCATTACCAATACAGACAAGGACTAGCTTATGATATTATTGAATTTCAAGTGAAAGGTAATACATGTTACACCCCTCTTGTTAGAAATAGATAAAGGGTTTTCTTGCTTTTAATCAATATCCTTTGCAATTCAGTGAAAGAGAAAGAAAAGTGCAAGAAGTTCTCTCTTGTTTCATTTTCTTTTATAATTTCCTAAGCCATAAAAAAATGAAGATGAATGTGTTAGGCAAAAAAAAAAAAGAACACTCTTAATCGATTAAATATTCATGTCAACAGAAATGTAATTAAACGATTAATTAATTATATAAAAAATAATAATTTAACATGATTCAACTAATCAACTTACGTCTACAGATAAAAAAAATTCATTAGTTGTAAATACTTACATTAAAATAAGTAAATATTACTTACAATTAATACTATAAACCCTTATAATCTCTTTTAGTTCACCTAAACTAAACAAATCATCATACTTGTATAGACTTTTTTAGTCTCATCTAATCCACTCATAAATATTTAAACATATTAACTCATAAGAATGTTAATCTTTTATAGTTTATGAAATGTTTACCCAATAAAATCCTACAACTTTCTTATATATTTTTCTCTTATATCTAATCTTATATAAACTTCATATATTTATAAATATATAAACTTATCTAACAAAAATCTCTTTCCTCTTAAAATTTTTATCTTATAAATCTTATTATCCATAAAATAATATCTAATCAATTTTAAACAAATCTGTATAAGATTTGAGTCATTAGTTAATGTGCAAATACATTGATCCATACAAATGGTTTCAATTCTATTTTGTTAGGTTTTAAAAAAGACCAGCTGAAAGTTCACCTGGGCAGTAATGGCGTCCTAACAGTTTCCGGTGAACGGCCATTGGAGGGAACTGGGTGGATCCGATTTCGCAAGGAATTCAACCCTCCTAAAGACTGCAAATCAAATGAAATTCGCGCAAGGTTTGGTTCTGGTATTCTTTATATAACAATACCTAAGAAAGTTACTCCCAAAGCTCCCCAACAGTATCCACTTACACCAGTGCAACAAGCGTCGGCAACAAGTCAAGACAAAGGAAAACTAGAACAAAAGATCAGCAGTCAGAGTAAAAAGGTTGCAGATACTTTTACAGCTAAACAATCAGGTGCTCGGGAAGTGATGACCTCACCAAATGAAAATGTTGCATTGCCCAAGGCTCGTCCCAAATCTTTTATTTCAAGGCTTAAAATGGAGAGAAAGACAGCAATGAAGGTTGGGGCAAGTGTTACAGTGCTGGCACTGCTGTTTACTATGCTATTTTATGCAATCAAAGTTTATGCTCCCATCATCATGCATGTGTAGAAATATCAAATTCTTGTCGACTTATTTACCAGCTTGTATATGTCACAGGTTTTTAGATGCAAAAACCTGTGAAAAAGAATGATCATGAACAACGTTTTTAGCTTAAGAAATGAAAGAACATATTATTAATCTGTTTATATGACAGTTTTGCTCAAATTACATGTTATGGCTAAATTACGGTAAATTTAATGGAATTTATTCTATTAGACCAAAGAATTAATAGAAAAGGTCATTTAAAGAGGTCAAGTGAAGTAGTAATAAAAATCAATGGGCACAACGATTTTTTAGATAAGAGTTAATTACGTTTGAATTTTTCAAAAATGTACCAATTAGTATTTAAAAAAATTAAAATGTACAATTTATATTATAAATTTTTAAATAATGTATTATTTTAATTCAAAATTCTAGTATTATTAATTTAACTCATTCATATGATATCTAATTAATATAAATATTGTTATATGGATGTTATTTATTAAATATATAAAAGTGTTAACTATTTTGTAAAAACTTTCATGTGAATGTTATATAATAAAAAATTATTGATTGATCCTATATATTTTTTATGGTTTAGATAAATTAAAAAATATATATTTTTAAATTGAAAAAAAAATATTGACAATTTATGTGCGGAACACATAACTTGATAATATTTTTCAAATGTTGCATATATAAACTAATATAGTTAACATGATTAGAATTTGAATTAACATGATACATAATTTAAAAGTTTAGAGTATAAATTATACATTATTTAAAAATTTAGAATGTAAATTATATATTTTACTTTTTGAAAACTATAAATTTTCTTAAAATTCAAATAAAAAATGTAATAAACTCTTTACATAAACATGCATGACACAATGATGAGCTAAAGGAAAAGATGTATAGCCAAAACCTTATTCAGGTCACAAATATCTCGCACAAAGGAACGAATAAAACAGATCATCTGAAGCTGAAAATCTCAAGGAAAGGAGAAATAAAAATCCTCAATAATATTCAGTCCATAAATCAGCTAATCACTGATACTTTACATTCCTAAACGCAACATAATTATTAGCTGCCATGGATGCTAAATTCGGAAAATTGAGAATTCGAAAAGACTTTAATTATAAAAAACTGTTGGGTCAATTTGATGTTAGAATTTAAGGTGATACAAAAATAAACTCCGTTGATTATGGACAAGAATGAGAATTTCTTTAATAAAAAATAAAAAATACTCAAGCAAGCCTAAAGGGTTAAGAAAAGTTAGGAGTAAAGCAGAGAATGATTTCTCCATCCATAGAGTAAAGATGGAAAACCTAATTGAAAATAAAGAGAAACCTAATCTTCCAAAAGCATTTAAGGAATCATTCTCTTTGAAGATGAAACACAAAAGGAAAACTCTTATACCTGCTTTCTCAAAGGTTTCTTAGCATAGAAATTGTTAAAGGAACAATGAGAAAGGTGGCTGCTGCATTAGTCAGTAAAGCAACAACAAGAAACAGCCTGCCATGGAAACCTCTTACGAAGATTTGGAGCCCTTGTGCAAATGCAAAAGGGAGCAAAAGAGGAAGTCTACCTTCCCGGTAATAATGTATTTTCCATTAATATTAAAATGAGCAATTTATTGATTAATTAGTTGGATGTGTAAATACCAGAAGAAAGGAATAATCTTGAACAGGGGTTAGGGGCAAGTAATTTTTCGTCATGCGAAGGTAAAACAAAGAATTAAAGATTCTGCGAAATACCCATATTTGCTTAGATTGATGCTATCATATGACATGCATATTGGTCAGATTTTTTAAACTTATAGATTTAAAAGGATTTAAGCTTGTAATGTCATTATCAAATAAATTAAGTAAATAACGGTTAGGATGTTAAGGATAAATTAAAATTTTCAAAAAAAATTAAAGATTTTGGCCTTAATTGGCAATTAAAGAAAAATAATAAAATAAAAAATCCTATGAATCAATAGCATTACAATGTATTAAATTTTTGAATGAGAATCTAACTTATCTAAAACCAATCAATGTAATTGGTCAAAAAAAATGCTTCTATATATGATGTTTCAAATTTAAAATCAATTGAAAATTAAAAAAATAAATATATTTAAGTATTCAAGATATTGGCAAATTTAAAAAACGTAGGATTATTAATTATCACCACTTTAATAAAATTTAACCCGCATGATATTTTTATTTTAATTTATCCACCATAAATCCTAGTTAATCTTTTAATTTTGCAAATTTTTAATGATATGCCACCTCATATTATATAATTATAAGGCCATAATAATTTTTTTAATTCAAAGAAAATCAAAAGTTAGTATTTAAAACTTTAATTAATTGTATAAATCACTTTATATTTTGATTTTATTTGAGTATAGTACATATTTACATGAACAATTATTTCATTTAAACCAATTTCGGAAATTGGTGCACTCAGAATACTTGTACATATAAAATGAAAGAACCAACAGCAGAACAACAGCGATTGTGTTCAAGAAAGCATTGCTGCCTAAATGAAACATTCCAACAATCCCATTACCCCCTCCAATGTTGCGGAAGCTGATGGCAGAACGTTTTATAGGTAGCGTTAGATGAACATTGCTACCTTCAAATTTTGCGTCAATTTTTTCTATGTCATACTTCGAACCATCAATTTTTTTCTTGAATCGCTTTTTTAGACTCTGTCCCATTGGATGTTCTCCAGTAATATACAAGAATCCATCCCTTCCAATTTCGATCTTCACTTCTTCTTGCTTGAATCCTGAAAAAAAAAAAAATAGAGTTCAAGATAGGGCTCCATCCTAATATAATTTTTTTTCTCTTGAATAAAACTTAATTAACCAAGATATGACGGTAATAGGGGAAATTTTTTTAGAAGCAAGTTCTTAAAAATTACTAGATAAAAAAAAATACAATGACAATGAGAATTAAAAAGTAATAAATTGTTTGATTGTATCAAAAGAAAAACAAAAGAAGTCATTTAAGACGCCACAACTTAAAAGAAGGACATACTTCCATTTAAACCACTCCAATAAATTCATTCGCATCTTGCGATATATGAAAATTTTGTCGTGAAAGGAAATGAATAAAGAAGGGAAAAAACTTTATATTCTTCATCGTAAAAGGAATGCAAAGACAATAATGCATACCCTGGAGCTGGATTTCAAGAACGTAAGTTTCTTTGAGAAAGGAAGTTTCGTGTTTCCACTTGCAATAGGGTTCAAAATCTTCGTATGATAAAGGCTCATTGCTTGCTTCCTTCACCATTTTCCAAATGAATTTTCTCCTATTAGGATCTTGAAGTTATAAAAGAAAATGAATCAATCAAGAGATTTGAGTGCATCAAAGTTCTCTATTTGCTTCTCTTTTTATGGAATTTGACGAAGGTTCTTTCCTTTTCATTAAAAAAAAAAGAAGAAAAGTAGCCGTCTTCTCTTAAAATGCATATTCTTTTCTTATCTTCAAAGGGACTTGCTTGAAATTGTATTAAGTTCCAAGTATTCCAAGAATAATTTTTAATGAAAATTTATCTTATACTTTGATTAATTTAATTTTTAAACTTTATAAGTCGATTCGGTAAAAAATAAAAAACTCTATAAGTAGATTTAAAAAATTGCTTAATGTTCACTACTTTTAATTTAAAAGAGTCGTTTTTTTGCTATATTTATTCTTTTCTTATTCTTTCTTTCCTAGTGTTCAGAATGAGTCCATGCTTGATTTTACGTAAGAATAAAATTAAAAATCTATTATAATATTCATGAAATTGTAACATTGAAATTTATAACTAATAATAGATGACTATTTGATTCAATAGTGTATGTATTTCCTGCTAAAAGAGTTGAGTTCAATTTTTTCGTTCTATAAAATTGTTTTTGATCCAAATAAAATAAAATTAAAATATCTAAAACTAAAAAAGAAAGAATGCATATTCTCATATCCACTGTAAAAATTACACTTCGTTTTTTTTTTTTTAAAAAAAAAAGCAATTTTGAGTACTATAAGCACTAATCTAATGATACATATTTTTTTTTTTCTTTTTTAAATTACAAAATGTATTTTTAAATGCACATTCAATTTTCAAAATGATGTCTATTTGGTTTGACTAACTTAAACATGATCAACTAATAAAAATGAGAGAATTTATTTTGTATAAGAAATTCTTCTTTATATATATATATATATATATATATATAAAAGACTTAGATAAAATTATTTACGTGAAATTCGTGAAGTTTCTTACTAGAAACCATTAAATAAAAACTAAAATCAAAAATTAAAATCAATAAATTAAAAGATCTCTTCACATAGATTTAGTGTGTAAAATTTTAAAAAAATTTATATATTTTTTTAAATAGACATTTCTAGTAAAAATATTAATAAAATTTTTACTGTTGAATAAATATCAATCAAATTTAAATTATAAATAATATTTTTAATATTTTTTTCCCACACACGTTAGGAATAAATGAAGTTGGGCTGCAAAGCAACCTTGTGAATTGGTAACACAACCCCAAGAAAGTGGAATGATTCTCTTCTAAGAGAACACCCTTACGAAACATTTTATGCCACTTGTACTCAACAATGAATTCCAAAGAATTAATTTCTATATAAACATATGAAATCCTTCACTATTTTCACAAGAATTCCATAAATTAGCATTGTCTTCTTCCGAAATCCGAAGCGATAAACATTAGAAAACACCCATGGATATGCTGACGTCTAAAGAATATTTTGAACCCTGTTGCGAGTGGAGGAGTGGAAAAGAGTCGGATGCAATTGATATTGAGCTTTATGGTAATGTGTTTTAACCCTCCCTTTGAAGAATTTTTTCTTTGAAATTTGAAATGCTTAATAGTTTTCAACAAAGCAAGTTTTCATGATCATTTTAGCTCAAATAATAATGATCATCCAACATAAAATTTCAGATTCTAAGAATTTTAGGTCAAATAATATATTAATTTTACATTAATTCGAACTTGATTTCATCACAGCTTGAAGATTTTCTTTGTTTGAACAACATTAAAAATAATATTTTCATTTTTATGCAATTTCTTATTAATTTGTACTATAATTTGATAGGTTTCGATATGCAAGACGTGAAAGTCACACTTAAGAAAGTTGATGATGAGGGAAATTCTACAATATCAATCATCGCAGAATCTCCCAGACGCATTCAGAAGAAAATTGATATTCCAAAAGATTATGATGTAGATAAAATACGTGCAGTATTTTGTAGTGGTAATCTCAGTCTAGAGCTACCTAAGAAAGCTGCTCCAAATAAGCTCGAAATTTCAAAGCAAAAATTTGAAATAATAAAAATTTTACAAGAATCAGCTGAAGACATGCAAAAGAAAATTTTTTCTGCCGCAAAAAATTCCTATCCAAAGCTAAAAGTTGCAGCAGTTGGTTCATTGTTTCTGGCTAGTATGTTATTTGCATACAAATGTTATACCGAATGTTACGGTGTTGAATCTATAGCTTAATTTAGATGAATTAATTTATATAATTATTTTTAAGAAATGACATTTAATATATTTAAAATTCAAAATAACCCTAAAATGTCTTTTAAAATTGTAATTGCTGAATGAATTTATTTGGGCTATTTCGATTGCTTTATTTATGGCTTTGTTTAGATCTCTTAATTTCTTGTTTAATTAATTTTTGTCTAGCTTTTGATACGGGACTGTACATCAAAATCAGTTGTCTTATGATTAACTTAGTCGTAACAAGTAATGATGCATTTCCAGGAAGAATTAAATACTCAAAAGTGAATGGTAACTAACCAAAGATCAAGATTGTAAAATCAAACAACAAGTCGCCCCTTGTAATATTAATTTGTAATTAATGGTAAACAATTAACATTGGAACTCAAAATCAAATAAATTAACTTAAAAGCAATAAAGAGTTTTTTTTGGGGCAGTGATGGCAATAAATTGCTTCCATATATATATATATAGATATATATCTGCCATTAAAGAATGATTCCCTGATGATATTACTTCGAAATGACTGATCAAATCCATGGATAGGGTGATGGAGCCGGTTGCCAAGGTGCAGTAGGAGCTAGTGTTGAAGGCGAAGATGGAGCCGCTGTCCAAGGTGTAGGAGCTGGTGCCCAAGGTTCAGTTGGTGTTGCTGGCATTGAAGGTGTAGTTGGTGTCCACGGTGCAGGAGCTGGTGCCCAAGGTTCAGTTGGTGTTGCTGGCACTGAAGGTGTAGTTGGTGTCCAAGGTTCAGGAGTTGGTGCCGGGGCTGGTGCCCAGCCATATGAATATTGAACATTGATTTTAAGCTTCTGGCCATAACTTGCACAATGGTTGCTAACACCGCAGATGTACCACTTCCTTCCTGGGGTCTTAAGGACTATCGTGTCATTCCCGTAGGTGAGAGCTTCGTTTGCCGGTGGAATGTCACAATTCTTGAAGGCGGTCCGTTTACTTTAAACACATTGTGATATCCTTGGGGGTATTGGAACACTGCAAAATTGTGGTGAAAAAAAATATCATATGACAATGTTATAAGCTGTTTAAATGAAAATTCAACAAGAAAAGAAAGAGAAGTAAATGAAACGATTGTACATTTGTTTTAAAAAATCATTCAGATTTCAACCCAAAAAATTAAACTAGTAGAAATGAATCTAATTATGTATATTTAGCATAATCATATGTATAAGAATTGAACTAAATTAATAAATCATAAAATCAACTAATCTCAAATACAAAATTAAAAAATTTATATATAAAATAATAAATTTTAATCTTATACGTATATACATAATTAATCGCCAACAAAAAATACTTTATCCTTTGCCCAAGCTTCATAATCGAAATTGATCGTCCATCCGCTCTCATCCCCCACGATATAATCTGTTGCAATGGCCAGTGCAGGAAGAAACAGGGCAGCAATGGTAAGCATGAAAACTTGTTAGAAGCCATTGATAGAAGCTTAGAAAGATTTTATCAAATCCTTATACTAAGCTTCGGTTATTTCTAATTTTTCGATTGAATCTGGTTTGGCTAATTAGATGCAATTACGTACCTATTTATAGTTTGATTCAGTAGCTTGGGAAATTTCATGGAAAGGCTTTGAAATTGTGAGGAGCCGGCAAGGGTCAGCATGTAACATTGCGTTATACGTTGGGCTGCCAAATAATGTTTTCATTATAAGAGGACGCATTTGAACAAATAGAGAATATGATAAACTTTGTTTCTTTCTTGATGCGATACTTGAAAGTAAACCTGAAAATGTAAAATATGATATAATGATATTATATGAATATGATACAAATAAAGAATACAAACGTGATATAATTTAAAATTTTAATAATAATTATATATAAATTTAGTAAAAAAAAAATTTTATTTTCATATTTATACAAATTATGATATTTAATTTTAATATAAAATATAATATAAATATATAAATTTTAATATTTTACATAATATAAATATATTAATTATAAAGATAATAATTTTGAATAAAAAATTTCGAAATTCAAGCCTACCAGATTTAAAAAAGAAAATTAAAACTATAAACATGTCACAACCTGGAAACATGCCTGCAGTACTTAATTATGAAGTAGAATTTTTTTTTTCCCTTTTAGATTTTTTAAATGTGTGTATGTGGCTTTTTCGAGATTTTCAATGTTGATTGTTGTCTAATTAAAGCAGGCTTTTGGAAGACAACATTTTGTCTGATCAAAATGGAAAACCCCTTTTCCCGACTTTGTTTTCTTAAAGGAGTGACTTTTGGAGTTACATAATTATATGTTCTATGTGAAGTTTTTTAGGTGGATTTGTGAAAATGTTTTATTAAAAATATTTAAATGAAAATAATTGAATAGGCGGATGGGTAAGAAAATTTTTTTGTCAATAATCTTATCGTTAATAATTTTATAATTTATTAATAAAATATTAAAATTTTAATTTTATTAATTAAAATTAAAATTTTAATAATTTTAAATTAAAAAAAAAGTCACACCATACAAAGATTGTGATGTATGTCTGAAGCTACAAAAGTTCAAGATCAATTTGAATTTTGGGTCAAATTAGATTAAATCGTTACTTTCAATCATGTAAATATTTTTTTAGGAAAATAAATTATTTATTACATATTACATATTATTAATAAATATCATAATAACCTCATAAATGATTTAGAAATAAATAATTAATTTTTTAAAAATACTTTTTTAACATGATTTAAATAAAAATTAAATATAATAATTCATAATAATGATTTCATAAAATCGATGCTTTCTCGTTTAATAGGCCTGGCCTGCTATACCCTCCGTACGAGGAATAAAGTCCAAGATTTGCAATCCTTTCCAGTCTTGGATTTCTTCGTATGTATCAAAGTGCAAATATTTTTTATATATAAAAATTTTATATTTACCACTGCTTTTGCTTGCATTTGCCTCCAAACCACGTCTTATTCATCATCTCGTTGGCTTAGGCTTCTCAAAAAGCCCTCGTACCAGCGTGAGCTGTGGCTGCCAGCGTCAAGTGGTGGTGGCTGTCATTTTTCCTTTCTTCCTCACTCTCTCTTCCCCCAAGACTTGAAGATATATAGCAACTGCACTTGATTGTTTCGGATCAAACAGTAGGCTGTTCTCATGTACCTTTCAGTACCCTTTTGTTGTTGACTGTTAGGAAACTTTGTAAATGAAATAAAATTCGAAAACATTGATTTTTGGGTTCTGGGATTTCATAATTCAACCCAACTGAGATACGAAGTTGTTTACTTTTATCAAAGTTCTTCAATTGAAAGGAATTTAATCAGTTTCATTTTATTTTTTTTAAGTTGTCTACTTTTTTTATAATTCTTCAATTTGATGAAAATTTGATCAGTTTCAATCTTTTTTTTCTTCGTTTGACTCAATTTTGAAATTTTAATAATTATATAACTGTATACATCAATTTTATCCGAATCTACTAATAATAATAATAAATATATTTTTCAAAAAATAATTATTATTAATTATTAAAAAAAAACAAAAGAAAGAGAAACGGAAAATGGCAGAAAGCAAGGCGGCTGATGCCTGGCACCAACCACCCTGCAGTCGGCACTAGCTGCCCACTCTCCAACCCAACCAACCCCCTGTCCAGCCACCAAACCAGACAACCACCCTATAGTCACCCTGCCACCACCTGTTCCTTTTTGAACTCCTTAAAAACCCTCAACTTCTTCCTTTTGATCGGCTCTCTCGGACCCCCTCTCAAAAACCTTCGGACCTCCCTTTTCGAAAACTCTCAGACAAGGAACAAACTCCTCTCGAAAAGCCTTTAAACAGATCCTCGAAACTTCCAAACCTCTTCTTTCAACAACCCCAAACACCACACCAAACCCATACCCGAACAGAAACGTAAAAATAGAAACAAAAATTAAAGACAAACAGTCCTCCCCATAGGGAGGAACCTCAGCGTGAGCTCCCTGCAAAAACCAAAAAAACAGATCAGTTTTAGTCTAAAAAAAAAAGAAGGCAAAAAACTTCAAGCCCCAATCTACGACGATCGAGGCTATTTATGGTGAAAAGAAAGTCAGATTTGAGAAGAGAATGTTGAAGAGAACTTCTAAAAGAATTTTAACATTTTCGGCGATCGGAAACCACCAGCAGCATTACCAGGGGTAACCCAAATGACGACCGGCACGGTGGTCCGGTGTCAAATTCTGGCCAAAGCTAGAGAGCTCTCCCGGAGCTTTGGACCATTTTTTTTTCTGATGAAGGTTTGAAATGAGCTACAAAAAAAAATTATTTTATATAAGAAACAACAATCCCAAAACGACACGCGTTTTAGTTAGAAAGAATTCGCTCGTTGATCCGGATCTGACTCGGGATTCGTGTAACCCAATCCGTGGAACCCGTCTTCAGAAAGCTTACTGATTAGTCCAAGCTGAACTGATTTGTAAGTTCATAAAAAAGAGATATCATTTACAGATATAAACTTTCGAAGAGAGTCATTTTGAATAATGCCAAGAATCTGAATAGCAAGATGATGCAAGAAATATATGCCCAATATAAGATCAAGCATCATAACTCGGTGTCATACTGTTCAAAAATGAATGAGGTAGTTGAGGCAACTAACAAAAATATAAAAGAATTTTTGAAAAGATGATCGAGACCTATAAAAATTGACATGAGAAGTTACCATTTGCACTGCATGCATATCGAACATCAATGTGCACCTTTATTGGGGCAACTTCATTTTTTTTTGTTTATAGGATAAAAGTTGTACTACCAGTAGAAGTAGAGATCCCATCCTTAAGGATTCTAAAAGAAGTTGAATTAGAAGAGGCTGAATGTTATGAACAATTAAATTTCATGAAAAAAAGATATTGACAGCGTTGTACCATGGTCAACTATATCAAAGAAGAATGATGAGGGCTCATGACAAAAATGTTTAACCTCGTTGTTTTCGAGAGGAAGAGTTGGTCTTAAAAAGAATTCTCCCAAATTAGCATGATAATAGAGGAAAATAGACTCTAAATTGAGAAAGGTCATATGTGGTGAAATGGGCTTTCTTGGTTGAAGTGTTGATACTAGCTGAGATGGATATAAATGATTATCCCATCCTATAAATTCTGATGCTGTGAAAAAGTATTATGCTTGAAGAAAAAATAAAAAAGAAAGACTTAATGCAAAAACCCCGAGAAGGCAGTTTAAGTCATATGGGGTTTATCTAAGTTGAAAACTTGATAAGGTAACTTAGATAAGGAGAATACAACATCAAATCTGAAAATTCATTGGCATGGAGGCTAACATATTCTGAGGAACTCTAAGTTGTTAAGTGTATTAGGTGGTTGAGTTTTTCGAAAAGAACCTCGATATGTGTTATCATGAATGTCTTATTGTTCATTTTTGGGCATTGTCTACCAATACCTATCTTTATAATTCTTTCTTGGCCAAAGTTTGCCAGCTTTTTTTATAATAAAAGACATTCTACTTTATTTTTTGTATGGCTCTTTTGCTAACTATTTCCTAACCGTTCTTATTATTTCTCTCTAATACCTTGCAATGAAATAAATGTTGAATACATTCTTACCTTTTAAGCTTGAAATAATGATTAATAAATGAATAATAACATGAAAGATTTTTACATTACACTGGAGAAGTAGAGAGTGATAAAGGCAAATCTGAAATGTTCAGTTTCTGATAAGAACATTGAATTTGGAAAGAGATTTCTTGTAGAAAGAATGTGAGAATTAAATGAAAGAGATAATTGAGAGTTACGCTAACTCGATCTTTGAAGAATAAAGGGCTCAAGGCCCAAGAAAAAAGCTTAAAAAACTTGAGTACCACAACTAAATGAAAATTAATTAGCCATCATTTGCATAACATGCATTGAATTTTGCATGCATTGCATTTCGCATAGCATATACTACATTTAAGAAAGTATAGTGCATAAATTAAAAAAAAATAGGGGTATTTCAGGATCCCACATGGAGAAGACAGATGTGAAGATTTTTCTATGTAAAAGTTTCAAATTGGAGAAAAAGCTTGTGATGTAAGATTCTAATCCTGGATAAAGGATATCTCTCAGTATTATGATCGATTTGTAAGATCTTTGGGCATAATATCCTGAAATTCCTTCAAACACGATCTTTGACTTCTCTAGACATAATTGTCAATAAGCTTTATTTATTTTTTCAAAGTCGTGATTGCCTCTGATTAGAGGAGAATTTATTTTTCGAAATTGTGGTGCCTCTATTTAAATGAGCATTTATTTTTCGAAGTCATGGTTGCCTCTGTTTAGAGGAGTAATTTAATTTTTTTTTAAGTCATGGTTGCCTCTGTTTAAATGAGCAATTTATTTTTTCAAAGTCATGGTTGCCTCTGTCTAGAGGAGCAATTTACTTTTCAAAAGTTATTGAGCCTTTAAATAGATAAGCTTTATTTTTTTTAAAAATCGTTGAGCCTCTGATTAGAGGAGCTTTATTTATTTTTTAAAAGTCGTTGAACCTCTGATTAGATCAGCTTTTATTTATTTTTCAAAAGTCGTTAGGCATTTGATTAGAAAAGCTTTTGTTTATTTTTCTAAAGTCATTGAGCTTTTTTTTTATTCTTCAAAAGTTGTGAACCTCTACTTAAGGTGTTGCAAGTATTTTTTTTAGAAAAAAATGAATGTGTCAGTATATGTGGGGTGTCTACGTCTTTGCACAATTCCCGTTGCACAGAAAATGTGCAAAGAGAGGTAGCTGTAAACATCCAATCTGTCTGGGGTCTTTTTTAGTTTTGGTAATTAATAAAATAATAATAATAATGAAAAAAGGGAAAAGGGTTGTTGAATTGGTGTAAAACTAGATTAAGAAATTTGAGATAAACTGGAAGAGATTGAATCGGACTAAAAGTCCAAAAAAAATTGGGATTCCTATTCAGCTTTAGAGTCTGTAGTTGTAAAGCTTATAAATAGATTAATAGATCAAAGGCAGAGACATACAGGAAAAATAGAGAAAGAACATAGGGAGAAAATAGAAGCAAAGAAAGAGTGTTTAGCAATCTTAAGAATTTTTAAAAAATTTTTAAAATTTTTGGCTTTGTTTTTCTGGAAATTTTTTGGAAATTTTCAGAATCTGGTGAATTTTTCAGCAAAAATTTAAGTTTTTTGGTGACTATCCAACGAGAAACCCAGTTTTCAGTGATATAACCCAGAAACCGATAATTTTTTCGACAACATTCAACCAAAAATGAGAATCGAAAATCATTTAGAGAGAGAAGGAACAGAGAAGAAAAAGAGAGTGTGGGGAAACATCTGAGGAAATAAGAAAATTTTCCCTGTTATACGTAAACTAAACGACGTCATTTTGAGTCAATACTTAAACAGGATCCCCGCGTTTAGCCAAGATCTGACCCAACCCGTAGCGAAACCCAAACCAGCAACCCACATCTCTGTCTGGGCTCCAGTCGAGCCGATTTCTTATCGAGCTACACCTTTAAGCCGTTTTCTGTGTCTGAAGTCAAGTCGCGTCAACCCTCTAACCAAGTTGTTTTCTATTTATTGATTTTTCTTATGTGTTTGTTTTTTTTTTATTTATTTATGTGTTTGTTTTTTTTTTTTAAAGAGTATTTTGCATGAATAAATTTAAAAAAATAAAAAAAAATTTAGAAAAAAGAAACATTTTTTAGGAAAATTGGAAGTTTTAAAATAAAATTATTAAAAAAAATTTTTAAAGAAAAGTTGAAAGTATCAATTTTTCTTAAAAATAAATTTTAAAATTAAAAATATACATTTTTGAGAAAAAGTTAAAAATATCAATTTTTCTTGAAAATAAAATTTTTAAAATAAAAGTTCTTAAAAAGTATTTTAAAGAAAAGTTGAAAGTATCAATTTTTTTTTAAACAAAAATTTTAGAAAAAAAAATACTTTTAGGAAAAGTTGAAAGTACAAATTTTTCTTAAAAATAAAAATTATCAAGAAAAATATTTTAAGAAAAAAGTTGAAAGTATCAAAAGTTGAATCATTATTCCTTTTTTTTTTTTTTATTTTATTTTATTTTTTTCTTCTTTCTTTTCTTGAATATTTTTTAATGTTAAATAATCCGACGATAGAGTCTCTGCAAGTAAAACAGTAATTTTCTTGCATACTCTTGAGGTGATGGGATTTTTCTTAATTTTCTATCAAAAGTTTGGAGTTAATTAAGAATAATTTTCAATAATTAATTACTTGGTTAAATTTTTTAAGACTTATTGAATAACACAAAATTAAGCTGGTACCATCTTTTGATGGGCGTTGTGAGGGTACTATAACCTTCCTCGCACGTAACCGTACTCTCAAACCATATTCTGGTTTGTAGACCCGAACATATTCCTTTAGTGACCCTTCGTCAAGCTTAGAAACTCTTTAAAGGGATAGATTCATAAGGTGATCAATCGCACCTAAACAAAAAAGATTAGCGGTAACTACTCAAATCAATGTCTAGCAATAGATCCCCGAATCTAGACGTTATGACAAGCAGTAAATTGACCCGAATAGGTCTAATTTGGATGAATTCAATTAGGTTATTGGTTTTAAAATTCACATTCATTTCTTTATTCTTTTCTAAAATTTTTCTTATAATTTGTTTTACAAGTCATTGGGTATGATTGATGCATTTTACTCTTAATCAGATTAATTTAGATTAAGTGTTAAGACTTGAAAAGAAACATTTTTACGTATATAGGACAAATTAAAGAAAAAAATGATATAAAACTCCTTCCATTATTACTGAATTTGGGAAATACAAAGACAAAGATAACAATTAAACTTTTGAGCCTAGACAGGTAACGATCTATGACTAAGCCATATGCAATATTGATAAACATTTTATTAAAAAAAAAAAGGGAAAAGGTAATAAAAAAATTGCTGACCATCATGGAGCTGATGATTATTGATCCAACTGGCAAGGTTGAAGATGATCGATGATTAAGCAGAATGGTTCACATTCTTGTACAATTCCATCACCCAATAGTTATAAGCAGGACAAACAAGCTTCAAAGAATTGAATCCAGCTTGCCTTGCCAATGTCTCAAACTCTTGCTTGGTCCTCTCCTTTCCACCAGGAAGGATGTGAAACAAGGCAAGGTCACGATGAAGGTTTGTCTTTGTCACAGCGTCACTCTCAGGCAAATCCGGCACGACGGCTTCCACAAGTACCACTTTGCCACACTCCGGCAGTGCATCGTGACAAACTTTCAATAGCTTCAAACATCGATCATCGCCCCAATCGTGAAGCATGGACTAATACAGACCATGTAAAAAATGATAATTAACTTTCATTAATAAGCAAAATTATTATATCATTTGAAGTTATCAATGAAGTAATGTCCCTTTTACATATATAGGTTGGATTACTTTTAGTTTTGAAAAAAAAAAAATTGAAGCAAACCAAAATATTTCTACGTACTAACCTTCATGAAAATAACTTCTGCTTGAGGAACTTCTGTAAACATATCTCCCCCTACATGCTCGACCCCTAAAATGTGGAAAAGAAAATTTTTTAAAAAAAAAAAAGAAAGGAAATTAAGGAATATATATATACCCAAAGAACGAAAGAAAGCCTGATTTTAAAAAAGCAATAAAAACTCTTTTTTCGGTTTTTTTCAAGATTTGTTACTGTTAATTAAATTTAACGTTCATTTCGAAATGAACATTTAATACAAATATCCTAATAATTATAAATTTTTAGGGGTGGTTTTTCTCACAATTTTGTCATTTAAGAAAAAATGACTCAATAAGAGAAATGTGATCTAAAGTTATGGTATAATCCTTGTTTGTTAGATATGATTATAAAGTTATAGTATAATCCTTATTTATTAGATATGATATCCTTTTCCCCTCGACTTTTTTAGAACTCTAAATTTGAAGTTTCATTTTCAATTTTAAAATAAAAAGAGTGAAATAATTAAATTAAAATCATACGCACCAAGAAAAAAAAAATCTAGATTTAGATTTACCTGGGCAAATGGGTGCATCTTTAATAACATGGGGCTGGTCAAAATTAATACCCTTAATATGTGGATACTTGGAAACTATGAGAGTAAGGTTTGTACCCCATCCACCTCCCACGTCTACCACTTGGCTTATACTCTCAAATCCCTTGTAAGTTTCTAAAATTTTGTTCATGATCAGATGGGTGATCTTGGACATTGCTGTGTTGAACGTGCCAGACAGTTCACTATCTTTTCCCAGCAACTCAAACCAGTGCATCCCAAATGCTTTGACGGATGAGAAGCCACCCTCTAATGTTACATCTTTCATGAATTTCCTGTATGAGAGAGTATATCATGAAGAAAATGCTAGATTTAAAATCATAATTATCGAATATAATATACATGCATGTCCATACACATGCATGCATGTATGTGAATTTTGATCAGAGGTGGATCTACTTTTAGAATTAAGATGTCCATGAACACTCTAAAAAATTGAAAACTGAAAAAAAAAATTTCCTGACACTCCAAAATTCTTCCATGGACATCTCAAAATTTGAAAAATGAAAAAATTTAGAAAAAAATTTTCCCAAAACACCCTCAAAAATTTTCAATGGATACCAGTTTCGTCCATAGTTTGTAAATCTGTAAGTGATTTGGATTCGCCAATGATCTTGATATGATATAAATAAAGGGAAATCAGAGATGAAAAGGACGAACCAACATTCGATAATATGTTTATCAAGATAGATAGCTAGCTCTGGAGCAAAGGAAATTCCATCCTCATTTTGAAGAAAATATTTGCCTATGGGTGCTAGGCCATATAATCTCTGGGTACGTCCATCTTCACCAGTGACAACATTGCATGTTAAAAAAGAGTGACTGGCGAGAAGTCTCAGAATTCGGTCAACTATGGATGGGGCATCTGGGTTATTGGTAGAAAGCTGAGAGGCAATCTCAACAGGTGAGAGCATACGACTAGGAGTACTAGCTTTGGCTATGATCTCCAACAAGTCAAGATCAATGGCAACTTTCAAAGCAAAAGGAAGTGTGGTTACTGAAGCTAAGTACATGGCTTGCAAGCAGTTCTCTTCTTCATCATGATTTGATGAAATGTTTTGTAGGTTTGGCAGTGAACCCATGGAGCTTGAATCTAGCAGCGTGGAAAAAGAGTTTGTTTACAAATTAAAGATCTTAGCAAAGCTGGGATATTGTTATACCACATGAAAGGCTTGGGAGTACATATAGAGGAGTGAAAAGACATGAAATAATTTTTTATACAATTAGTTATTGAAAAAAGAAAGACTACTATTTTAACTTATCCTATCAAAATTTTTTTAACTTTGACCGTTATTACTTTAAATATTTTAATTAATTAAATTTTATACAATATATATTTAAAATCTAATTCATTCAAAGTTTTTAAAATATTTTTATTTTTTTTATCAATAATAAATGGTCAAAGTTAAAAAAAATTAATAAAAAAATAAAATGTGACAATTTAATTAGAACAAAAAATTAATAAAATTTGAGAAGCATTTTGTTTTATGGAACTCACACCATTAAATCCTATTTTACATAAAATAATAAAAAAATATATAAAAAAATAAACAACATGAGATTTATATTAATTCACTCTGAATATGAATCATGTTCATATATAGATAACTAATCATGAAATATTCTTACATTAAAGTATATTAATTATTCTAATCATGAAAATCAACTGAAGGGTGAAAAAGACAAAGTCATATATCTCTTTTTTTTTTTTTCATTTTTTGTCAAAATAACGCATCTAAATAGATGTGCAAAAAGACTATTCTATTCATATTGACCGGATCACAGGAAGACTTTAGAATAATAAACAAACGTAAACGGTGATTAAGATTCATAGTCAAAACACATGGCTGCTCTGGATAGCTACGATAAATACATTCTTGTCATCATCCAGTCTTAATTGGCTGCCTATAAATCTAACCCAAAGCCGTCATATTATTATTATTATTACTAACCTGTGGGGTTGAAATTCAAACCGAAATATTTGACGTCAATTAACCTTTAGATGGTGCGGGCATCAATGAATAAAAATGAACAATCAGGTTGTCCTGGTTGGCTGAAAAGAATGAAGACTCTGTCAAAAGGGATATGAAGCCATGCGGTACATAAAGATTTTGGAGAGGAAAGGAGAGAAACAGTGATGCATTGCCTTTGTGAGTGCCTCGGAGATGGAGAGACAACAATGTGAGCTGAATGTTTTAAGTGTGAGAAGAGTTTTATTGATTTGATAATTTATTTATTTATATTATATAAAATATTAAAATCTATATATTCGTAATATATTTTATATAAAAATTATGTATTAAAATTTATGTTGACATTAAAATATAAAATATATTTTTTATTTTATTAAATTTATATATAATTATTATTAAAATTTTAAATTATATTATTTTTTATATTATGTTATATTTTATCATCGTATCATATTTTAAATTATTAAATTTATATTGAATCATATAAATTCATATATTTTTATTAATTATTGTTATTTTCGCATTTCATTTCATCTTACATGCATGATGTTTTTCGGGTGAAAGTTCTTGTCAAATTTACGTCCTAAAAATACGGTTATATGTAGTATCAGTGTCAAATAAAAAAAATTCCCTAATGTCACCAGAAAAATCAGTGATTAATTTTAAAATATTGCAGCCTAGTTGTTCTGTTATTGTTTTCATAAAGTACCTCATAGTCATAGCTGACCTTGGGAAAGCAGCTAATTAATCAAAGGCTTAGTTCAATGCTTCTTTTAATTAAATCCAATTCCTTGTCAGATAGCATGTTCCAATGGCAGTCTGGTTTTGTTTCAAAACAATGGGCTGTTTTTATCATAATCATAATTAAGTAATTAACTCAATTAAATTAGTGCTATGTATTTTGTTAATTAGTTTAACTTAATTAAGTTAAGTTTAATTTTTTAATTTAATAAAAAAAAAAGAATTTGAACCTGGTTTTTTGAGATGGGAACTCAAGCAACTGCCACATAGCCAAGTTATACATGTTGATTAATTTATGAGAATTTAAAATCATTGTCGGCTTGTTCTAACTTTTTGGAAGCCACAGATTTAACTGAATTAAACTGAATAATTATTTCGATTGCATTTTTTTTATATAAAAAAGATCAGAAATAGAGGAAAAGGATTACAAATTTTAAAATTTAAATCTTAAATTTATTGAATATATTTTTAAAAATAATTACATAAATTAATACGAAAATTAGAATCGAGTACAGTGGTCCAAGGTACAAGAAATTGCTTCTCTTAGCTAGAATCTTTCTCACATATTCATCTTGTCCTACCTACCTATCTTGCTATCTTGTACTTGGTAGCATGCGTTTGACTTCCTCAACTCATTTGAAGTTCAAGTCTAAGCTGCTTTTTACAACTCTTTGAATTAGGATAAAGTCTATGGCCAAAAAAAAAGAATAAGTCAACAAAAAAGAGGTTCAATTTTGTTTCAAATATATATAAATCAAATAAACATTTAGGAAATACCATAATTTTTTTTATCTCTATTTAAACAACAACAAATTCATGATGATTCTCATAATTGTTTGATTATGTATTGAAAATAATTTGATCCGACAAAAATTACATATTGATCTTTCCATCAATGCTTTGTTAATAATAATAAGATGATTTAATAATAATAATAATAATAATAATAATAAGATGATTTAACTTTAGAGCAAAAGACAAATGAAAGAACCTTTGGACGCTATTACATTAATACTTTTCATATAACAGCTTCATTAGATAATTTTCCCAAACTTTTCCAAGGTAGCTAAAGAGTGGTTTGTTTTTGTTAAGTTTGTTTAACCTAACTCTATAGGCTGTTTTGGCTTATTTTAGTTCTTAATAATTAAACTTGTATTAGGCATAAGAAACCACAAGTGGGATATTCCTAGATGGCTAATTATACCATTTTGCCTCAACCAGTTTTTAGAATGCTAAGCCTGGACCAAAGATGATGAAACAAAATAAAGATTTCCATTCAGCATTTTCTATTGGCATAAAACACTTATATAAACATGATAACTCATTTCAGATCTCAGAATTCTGGACATGGCAAACTGATCATTAGCAAAGAAACTATTAGGTTTATTGAAAGTCACAGGCTTGGTTGAGGTCCAAGCTTTACGGCAACCCAATGGCTGTCACTTATGGGTAGCACGGTGCTACCAGAAGGAAACTTCATGTCTGGCACGCGTGGACGAACTACGACCCTGTTGCAGGATATGTCACTTGTTTCAACAGGCTGCTTGATTGAGTCCTCAACCGAATCGGTAGTAGTTGAGTGGGTTGACGGCGACGTAGGTGAAGAGAGATCATCTTCCGGCAGAGGATGATCATACAGATTCGATGAAGATGAACGACTTTGCCAATCTGTAGTCACCTCTGGTTGTGGGAATGAAACAGAGATATGATGACTAATAACTGTTCTATTAACTGCAATTAAATCACATGAAAATGCTATGAGGAACATGGCTGTAAGAAATATATCTCAGAAGCTAATATTCAACAGCATGCGAACAAATTTGACTACCAAAGATAAAGAGATGCGTTCTTGATAAATGAATTGAAAAGTATGCTTGCATGCAAGTCTATGCACGTGCATGTTTGCATTCATCCACGCGAGCAAACAAAGATCTTCCATGGTGCAGTGTAGCATAAAAAGTGTCTCCTACGTAAAACTGTGAATGCAGGAGACGAACATTTTTATTATGAAGAGAGTACACATAAAGAGGTAATGAAGAAAAACATAGCTAACCAAGTGAAAAAATCAACACCTCCTGGGTCTCATGAACTGCTGGAGAAAATTGTTATTTGCTTCTCAACTAACCACTTTTACATAGGCTTTAACGGTCTATCCTACCTAGAAATTCATGAACTAGTTTGTATCCAGGGCAATTATTGGCCATTTACAAGCATAAATACTTCTAGAAAAGATAAATCATGACCGAGCTAAGGCACCAAATACAAAATGATTTGCATTCAATTTTAGGAACTTGTCAACCATAAACTGCTATCTGTAAATGTAAATTGGATATTAAATGGTAGAAGTTTCCATAGGAAAAATCACCTATGACCTCCTGCCGGTCCACCCCTAAAGTTGAGCTAGGATTAAGCAATGTATTGGCTTTGGATCCAAGATTCTGTTGGGTATCAGCATTGACATTTGATGTCAAGTGAGAAGATGAGACCACAGGCACTTCTCGTTCTTGGTAGGCAGGAGTAATAATCATAGAGCCCCTATTTGACTTGCCTGAAAAGAAGAGCATAATTATAATCACTCTATAACTACTCACTAACGGGGAAAATTCAGAACCGACCATAATGTTCACATTCAGGGACCAGAGATTAACATACTAATATAAATAATTCACAATGATATGACAGGCCCACTAAATTCATCTAGGGCTGCCATAGATGAAAGGTTTGTTTTCCTATTTGTCAGCACTTTAACACATAAATCATTTTTCTCTACGACCAATATGATAAAATTTGAGAATCACATGCCATGGCACTCAAAAATTTACCCCCTTAGAGCAAACATGTCAAACAAATTTTATTTTTCTGTGTGTTCCAAAAGTCAATTTACATTGCAATTCAAACATAAACATGAGAAAGAGCCATGAAAAGGATTGAGAATCAACAGAATGGTGAAAAAAAGGCTCTTTCTTTTTCCTTTTTTGTTTTTTCAGAAAAATAAAACGGAAATGAGAGGGTTTAGAACACATACACCCCTTTAACTTCATGTACGCAACTTTCGCTGCCAAAAACTCTGCTTGCTTCTTGGTTTTTGCTGCCTGTCCTGTGAAAACCTCTCCTTTTACCTCCACAATGGAAACAAACGTTGATGCATGGGCTTCACCAGATCTAGTTGTATTGTAAACTGGTAGAGGACAACCTTCCTTCTGAGCTAATTCTTGCAAAAGGTTCTTGTATAAGGTTGAGTCTTCCTGAAGAAAAATAGAAAGAAATGACAAAAACTCAAGCACTAGAGATTTACAAGAACTGAACATTTTCTTGATATCATAAATAACAGTAAATGAACAGAGTCAAAAACACTACATTAATCAGTAAATTGGACCTCTTCAATAGCATCTGGTGACAAACACGATAATGCTATTTTTGCAGCTGCATGTTCAGCTTCCTTTATTGTTGGAAAGAACTCCAAACTCTCATAGGTATTTTCATTGATAGTGACCTTGCACCTGAAGCGACTTGCATGAGGAGGACCCTCAAACTCACAAGAATACACAGGTCGGCTGAGGTTTCTCTTTTGAGCAAAATTTTGCAATAGATTCTTGTACAAATGTCGCATATCTATAAGCCAACAATTCCAAGTCAAAGGATAATAAAGAAAAACATGTGAAGTACTAAGGAAAACACTGGCAAGAATAACTAGAAACAAGACAGTTCAAACAATGCGTTTCAGTTGTCTTTTTTTAATAAATGAGCTTTTTTTTTCAACCAAAAATAAGCACACCCTGCTGCAAGAAAACAGTCTGCAGAAGCAGAAAACTACAGGGAAGGAACAAGAAAACAAAAATGAAACAAACAACCTCCTTAATGTTCCAGTGTTACTACCATCTATTCTGCTGGTACTTTTTCTTTTCGTTTAACTTTTAATTGGCTGCAATGTTCAAGTTGAAGAGTATTAAATGAGGTACTGCAGGCATTTTAGAGCAGAAGAGCAGTCTTTCTATGTCAGTCCAATCAACCCAAAGTCAACAGAGTCAAGGAACTCGGCACAAATGACATAATTGTTGGACCTTCAAGTTTTGATATTTTAAACTACTTTCTCTCAGCAAGGTAAGGAACGGAGCAAAATCAAGATTGTCAAAATGGTTTTCAAGCTTAGCTACGTCAATCAATGCAACAGCCAGAGGTGAACTTAAGTTCCAACTAGCTAGCTTAAGCTAAAACAATTCCGATGAAGCTTGCACTCAGCTCAACACATTGATACCATGTTTGAGCCAAGCAAGTTAAGCTTGTTTTAATTGATATGCCCTCAAATTGCTCAACATCAAGCCAATATCAAGCCAAAAGAAGCAAATTGATAAGCTTCATTCAGTAGTAGAGAAAATGAATGCAGATAGCAACCAGCACCCTGCAAAATCTATATGAGCTAAAGCTAAGCTTTAATTAAACACTGGAACATATGTCTAGGCAAGATTTTGGCTGGTTTGTTGGCAGCTATGCAAGCAACTAGGCTTATCTACAACCCCATTTGCTAGTTGAATAATAACATGTACCATGCAGAATATATTTTTATAAAAATTTGGAGAAAAAAAGATTTAGATTTGACACCAAGTTGACCTCCAGTTTAAGACTTAAAAAGCATAATTTTTGAGTGCTGATTTGAGGTTATGAATACTATTTCACATGTAAGAGAAAACACCAGGCTTCTAATAGGCAAATGAACCATATTTAATCAGCTTTTATGCTGAAAAAAAATTAAATAAACAAGCTATCCAATTTTTCTTTTGGTTTGAGTGAGGAATATTAGAGATGTTTGAGTACAAAAGAAGACTGCTCACCTTTAAATTTTTCATTGTCTTTGCTAATCAAGATCTCACAATCTTGATTTGCTTCCTGTCTTTCCAGTTGCAATATCCTTAAGGTAGCAATATTACTATCAAAATTTGCAATTTCATTTGAAGAACCTGCAAGAATCACAGCAACAAAACAAGGAAAGATAATTTGCTTTCTAGCATATGCATCCTAAATTTAATAAAGTTACTGGCAAGGGAAGTGGAAAAAATAAAATCTTACAGAAAGTTATATAAAAGTAAAAAAAAATGCACTGGAACCCAAAGTCATACAAAAGAATAAAAGAGCTGGAGGTGCACATAACAAGGATTTAATGATCTACAATCATATCAGCACTCGTGATTTCTAGTGAAACATCAATGAAAGAGAAAGAGTACCTGAAGAAATCAACACAATTCTTTCCAAGGTGCATTAAAAGCCCACGCTATCTTAAAGGCAATCAAAACTGTCAAAATAATGCCTAAAAGATAAACTCAAAATCAGCCAATTAACAAAATTCACAGTTTTTATGCTTTACATCTCCAATAACTAGTTTCCAAGGTGATTAGAACAATTGAATTTGAAAAGATAATTAGTAAAAACGGAAAGTAGAAAAGGAACAAGCTCCACTGCATGTGAAGAAAAATAAGTTGGAAAGGCAATTTATAATTCAATTCTACATCTAACAGTTATATAAACCATAAATATTTACCAATAGCTTATTTTCAAAGTCATATGATAAGGCCAACGAGCTTTGGCTCACTAGCACCAGAGTGTTGCTAATCACATGAGGTCCTCTATTACTCAAGGCACCCATTAATATGAAAAAATTTTGGGGAAAAAATTAAATACAATCGAAAACAAGAAATTTATTATCAATTAGAGACATAGAACAATTACCATTACCCTCTTCTTGACATTTCCAATTATAATATGCACACTAATTCAATATGAAAACTTAAAAGATACTACCAAATATAGAATTTGCAAAACAACCATTTAGCGTTACAAATTTCACCTTCTATTCCGCTAGCTAGAAATGGGAATGAACACCCAAATCCACTACGAAAGTTATAAACATCCACCAAACCTAAGTCTAGACCTCCATTCAAACACATATAATGAACATAGTTTTCTTGATCCTTATCATGAACATAGTTATTCAGCTTATTTGAAGCAAATAAAACAATCCTTTGGACTTCAAATTACACAAAACTAACAATAACAACAACAACAACAACAAACTAAGCCTTTTATCCCGTAACTTTGGGGTCGGCTATATGAAAGGCCAAAAAGGAATGGTCGTAGTTTTAAATCTTCTTGTGCCACTCATTTCTATCAAATTACACAAAATCATAAAATTTAAAATTTTGAGTTTCTTTCATTTTTCTCACTTCTTTGAAGTTAAGAAACCATGGAAAGACAAACAATCTCAGCATAGAATTCTCTACCAGGCTAAGAATTTACTTCACCATGCAAAGAAAATGTCCAATTTTATTTAATCGATTGCTTTACTCAGCATTTACTCTAAATTACATTAAACATCAAAAAAAATATTAACTTAAGCCCCAAAAAAGGAAAATTTTCATAAAAAGAAATGAAAATAACAATAAATAGCACTAACAATTAAAGGGAAAAAAAGGATTGACTTCCTACAAATTGCATTTCACATTAAAACAAAATTTTCTGTAAATACTAACATGAACAATGCTTTTCCAGCGTTTTCTTAAGGACCAAACAGAAATTCAAAGAAAGTAATTGTAATTTGGGTTTGGGTTTTTCTTAAATTAAAAGATGGTACCAGGATCAGGAAGAGGAGGAGCTGTGAAATGAAGGAAAGCGAGCTGAGCGGCGTCGTTTTGGGCTTCTTTGGAAGACCTGGCCGGATTCCGAGGCTGAAACGACTTGCCGTTTACGATCACGGTAGCTTCGAAGCGAGGATTATGATCTTGGCCTTCCTTTGTGATGTTGTACTCTGGTAAGGTCCATGCTTTCTTCTGGCAAAGCTCTTGCAGTTTCGACTTGTACATCTTTCCTCTCTTTCCCTCGATTTGCTTTCACTCATCCAACAAAAACCTTGTATTACTTGTATATAGTTTTGCAAAACGAATAAAAAATAATTTTTTAATTTATTTTCCTTTTAATAAACTTTGGGTATTTGAATTTTTTTTTAAAATTTCTACTTAAAGTTGAAGGAGTTTCTTTTAATTACTTTATATATAGTTTTGCAAAAGAAAAAAATGATTTTTTAATTTATTTTTTTGGATAAAAAATTGTTATTTGGATTTTTTAAAAAATTTATACTTATAGAAGAAGGAATTGTTTTATTTTTTAATTGTTTTTGGAATTTTTAATTTTTACTTGTGGGGTAAGGACACGATGTGAGTTAAAAAAAAAAAAAATTTGTAATTTTTTAATATTTGGTTGGAAATATTTTGTTTCCACTGATGAGAGGACATGATTTTTTTAGTCAATTGTGACATTTTTATGTTCTTTATTTTTGACATCTTAATCATTAGTAATTAAGGAAATAATGAGCAAAACAGAAGCAATTTTCTAATGAAATAAAAGAAAATGCTAATTATTAATTTATTATTAAGGTATGATATGATTAAAAAAAGCTAATTATTAATTTAATATTAAGGCACGATTGATAAGCTGTCAACAGATCTCTTAGAGATGTTCATTTCATAAGTTTCAATCGAATAATAAATTATATTTAAATAAATATTTTTAGATTTTATTTTTTTTGCATTTGAAATAAATTAAATAAATAATCTAATGAAATTTGTAAATATTAAAATATTAAATTAAATTCTAATATATAAAATGAAATTATTTATATATTTTATCTCGTAATATAATGATTAAGAGATTTTAACCTAATAATTAAAAAGTTTTGACGAAAAGATATTGACGAACATTCTAACCCTATCATCCCTAAAAAAAAAAAAATCAAATTATCCATTTTACGTATTTTGTACTTTATATTTATATTTTATTATATTTTTGTTAAAATTTTAATCAGTTTAAAATTCAAATCAAATTAACTAAAAATCAATTTTTTTAAATATATAATTTTAAATTGATTAATTGAATTAAATTAATTTAATCAAATAATTTAATTAAAATCGAATTTTAATATATTTTTTTTTCCAAAAACAAAATATTTATAGAAAAAAAAAAACAACCAAAAAAAGAAGGAATACAATTGACCCCAAGGGCCATATTATGCCTAACAAATATGTCATTGAAACACAGTTATTCAAATGATAAGGCAAATATTTTTTCAATTTTTTCTTCTCTCTCGTCTTGGGTATAAATCATATGACCTCTCACTTGGCACTGGCAAGTTGGGTGCGGAGCAGCTTGGCAGCGGCAACCATGTTGCTGAGGGCTGGTTTCACCTCGTCATACTTGCGAGTCTTAAGACCACAGTCAGGGTTAACCCACAAGATGTTGGTCTCGAGCACAGCAAGCATCTTATTAATTCTGTCGGCAATCTCTTCGGTTGATGGTATTCTAGGAGAGTGGATGTCATAGACACCAGGGCCAATTCCAGCACCATACTTCACTCCTTCACGGAAAACTGACAGGAGCTTCTCATCTGAACGTGAGTTCTCAATGGTAATGACATCAGCATCCATGTCGATGATTGAGTGAATGATGTCATTGAAGTTGGAGTAGCACATGTGGGTGTGGATCTGTCAGATTTTATAAGACAGACCAATGAGAGCATGAAAATGAAAGTTTTGATCAGTGATAAAAGAATGAAGTAATATACAGACCTGGGTAGTGTCCTGGACGCCACAGTTGGTGATCCTAAAGGAGTGGACAGCCCATTTCAAGTAGAAGGCATGCTCAGACTTCCTAAGAGGCAACCCCTCTCTCAAAGCAGCCTCATCAATTTGGATAACATTGATACCAGCCTTCTCAAGATCCTCCACTTCGTCCTTGATGGCCAAGGCAATCTGGTAGCAAGTCTCAAATCTGGAAGATTGGCAACGTAGAATGTCAAAAGATACACTCATATTGCAAAGTATAAAATTCTGGTTGAAATGTAATATTTCTGATCATTTTTCTCCTATTGAATTTCTCGTGCATACCTGGGCTGATCGTTTCTGACAAAAGACCAGTTGAGGATGGTAACAGGACCAGTAAGCATTCCCTTCATTGGGCGTGCAGTCATGCTTTGGGCAGTAGATGACCAGAAAACAGTCATTGGCTTGGGGCGGCTAACATCACCATAGATGATTGGTGGCTTGACACAGCGAGAACCATAAGACTGCACCCACCCGTTAACAGTGAAAGCAAAGCCAGACAACTGCTCACCAAAGTACTCAACCATATCGTTTCTCTGCACAATTTTAAGTCATAGTTAGGACGCTTGCGAATAACTGACCACATATGCATCTTCCTTTTACTGCAAAAGGCCCAAAAAAATATAAAAGGAATACTCACCTCAGGCTCACCGTGGACCAGGACGTCAATGTCAAGCTCTTCCTGAAGGTCAACAACCCTCTTAATTTCCGCCTTAATGGCTTTAACATAATCGTCCTCAGAGATCCTGAAGGATATAAGAGAGCACTAGTTATGGTCACATGGACATTTTATAAGAAAGATATCAAGGAAATTTTCCACATAACTCACTTGTTAGCCTTGAATTCACGACGAACTCTTCTGAGTTCCAAAGTTTGAGGGAAGGATCCAATGGTTGTGGTGGGAAGGATTGGTAGGTTAAGCTTTTTCTGCTGGGAATCCAGTCTAGCACTAACATTTGTTGCACGGCGGTGGTCAGAGCCCTTCAAAGCAGCAGCCTGGGGATGCAAGCACATTAAAACATGGTATGCAAGGAATGATTTTCACAGTGAAAAATATTACTGCAGAGAAATCACTTCAAAGACAAATTGGAATTGTAGCTTATCAAAACACTTACAGCCTTTTGAACAGCCTCATTGGTCACTCTTGGGGAGGACTTCCTTGAAGCTTGAGCAGCAGCATTGGAAGAGAAGAAGGCCTAAAAATAGATGAATAAATAGTAAGTGACATGGTGTCAACCATATCTTGAGAAAGCACCTAAAAATAGATGAATAAATAGTAAGTGACATGGTGTCAACCATATCTTGAGAAAGCACCAAAAGACAGAAAACAAACGACCAACTCAGAAGGCTTAAGGCCCATCAGGAGATATCATCCAAGTTCTCAGAAAAATAGCAAAAACAAGTGGCAATATTATAAGGAGATACCTCATCCTTCTGTCCAGCCAATGCCTTGGCAAGTGCATTAACTTCTACAACTTTCTGGGCAGCGAATGCAAGCCAGGATTTGATTTCATCATCCAGCTTAGTCTCATTTACTAGATCAACAGCAGTGTGGAGAAGTGAGCAGGAGGTAGACACCACAAGGCTGTCTGCACATCAGAAAATTTAACAGATATCAGTCTATAGTAAATAAAAAATATTTTAATACTCACCATGTAATTACAAGCCATAAAATGTGCAAATGAAAATAGAATACCTTTGCCCACAACAGCCTCAAGCTCCAGCAAGGTGCTAAGAGAAGAAGAAAGATCATTGGCCCAAATGTTCCTTCCATCAACAACTCCAGCAAAAAGGCACTTGCCCTTAGGGAAATTATTCTTGATCAAATCAATGGTCTGGGTTCCACGAACCAAGTCAAAACCATAAGCAGTGACACCCTTCAATCCAATGAGGGTCTTGTATGCCTCAGCAGTAAGATCAGCAAAGTAGGTCTCAATCAGAACATTCAAGCCAGAGAGAGTAGATTCCAAATCAGCATAAGCAGCGGTGAATGCTTGCAATTGGTGAGAGTCAAGATCCAAGACAAGGGTAGGTTCATCAAATTGAATCCAGGAAGCACCAGCTGCCTTAAGCTCAGAAATAACTTCCCTGTAGTGAGATTCAATGTTATAATAACAAAGTAGAGTCTATTAATAAAAATTCAAAGACAAAGAGAGACAACTCTTACTTGTAGATAGGGAGGATTTTGGGAAGGAGAGAGAGAAGGGAAAAGGTCTTCTCAACACCTTTTGCAGGTTTAGACAGTAACAAGTATGAGACAGGGCCAATAAGGACTGGGACAGTGTTGACTCCAAGCTGCATGTAGGACAGAGAATCAGCATCCAAGGCTTATAATAAGATTAAAAACATCAGGATATGTAGTATATTACATAGGCTAACAGTGGGGCACCATAATCAAGTGGGTCTAATTAGCACTCCCAGTCTCACTCAGGGCATTATCAAAAAATGGATCACATGAAAATACAACACTAGAGAGCTACAAACTATTACTTATATAAAATCTCAGGCATAATAATGGCAAACATGAAACCATTCCCAGAACCCTGGCCCAGCTAACCATATGTTTAAGCCATTGCATAGAAGAAAGTACGCTAAAAGATGTTAATCAGTTAGTCCAAACCCTTGAAGCTATCCCAAATTCAGGCCATCATACATTTTCATGCATTTTGAAGAACTTTAAAATCCTACTATTTCCATCATAATCTTCTATGTCATGAAAAGGTACTCTTGCATCTCACTACTCTAATTTCAGGAGACCTCTATCCTGACAGAATCTCAACATATACCATACCTTACCTCTAATTCCTAACTGAGCTACTAGCATAAGTAAACATGACAGACAAAAATTTACAGTGTTATATATATAGAAAAATTAGACCCAAAGAACATACCGCCTTAGCTTCCTTGTACTCATCCACTGCCTTGTGAGATGCATAAGAGAAGTTAACATCAGGTCCCAATTCAGGAACAATAAAGTGGCTGAAATGACACATTGCACAGAGTATAAGTATTAGTATCCGAAAACTCAGCATGCACGATAAAGCTAATAAGGTATGACCAAGAATAGCAACTTACTAGTTTGTGTCAAACCACTTGGTCATTTCCATGGCAGGCACAGAGGCATTTCCTCTGGCCATGGAGAAGTAAGTGTCAAATCCAATCTCACCCCCATTCCAGCCATATCTAGGTGGAACAGCTCCAAGCATCGATGTGGTATCAAGCACCTGGTCGTAGTAAGAGAAAGTGTTGCTGGGAATGTACTTGATCCCAGCATCAGCCATCTGTTTCCAGATGGATGACCTGAGGTCAGTTGCAACCTTTTGCAAATCCTCAGCGCTGCTCTTCTTATC